TGATCAGCAGTTTTGTGCGTGGTAGTATTGGATGAATCCACGAACTATTGTATATGAAAGTAAATGTTTAAGCATATATTTAGCTTTGTCACCGATTGTGAAATTTTGAAATAGGTTTTCAACTAATAATAATAATAATAATAATATTCTATTATTATTATCAGCAGTTGAAACCTACTAAAATCATTATTTTAGCTTATAAAGACATCAATAATTTCCTTCACAAAGTAAAGATTGTGGACATAACATTCAGTTTATAGGGATGTTGGCTCATGGGCATTTCCTACAAACTTTTCAATTAAACAAGTAGGAACAGTCATCATTGAAACTTTAGAAGTTTTGTTTGGTGACAAGAAAAGATGTGCTATACACAATATAACTTTCCAATACTAATAGACACTAATACTGCACTTGAACGGCACTATTGAGAGTCATTACTACCAAGATAAAAGTGCACAGCCTTTTTATCACACGTTCCATTAGTCCTTGAACAATTTCTTGTTTGCAAGATTGTCTTCATTTGTTATTCTATATCGTTCACAAAGATTAACATGGGCGTTGTTTTTGCATTCAAAGACATATAACTACACACATGTTTTTTTATCAAACATTCCATGAATATTTGATTGGCTACAAGATTACAAATATATGTTAATGCAAAGAATTGTATGACTTTGAATGTCAAAACTAAGTTAGTGGTTGTCAATTTTCTTAGTCAATCTGGTGTCACCTTTGAACAAACAGCATTAAAATTTTTGATTGCATATTCAACTGTTTGAAAGATCTACAACAAGATAGAAGTTATTAAGCAATTGACATGTTAAATGAATCAAGATGAACTTAAAAATGTTCATATTTCAATTTGAGTGCAACTTTTACGAACATGGTGCATCAATTTCATACGTGTTGAAATTAATGCATTCACTTGTAATGTGTGTTGAGCTTAACTTCGGTTAAGAAGTAACCTATGGACCTAACTATTTGTAATTGAGACGTCGCATGGACTAGGGATTAAATACCTTGATTTCTGCCTTGTACATGCAGTCGTTCTCAACAGACCTTGAGTAAAAGATGTATTGGTGTTTATGGTGGACGTAGCCCTCCTCCCTTGAGGTTAAACCACGTTACATATGTCTCTCATGATTGGTTGATGATTTTCAAATTTAACGGTTACAATTTCTTTGATACCAATTGCGCGGACGACGATGATTAGCAGACGCATTAAGTCGCGGACGCAATAAGGTGTAAACTGCAACCTCCAATCTGCCTCTCACTCAGATTTATCTCAGATGGCTTTGCGGTGGCTCATCATGGTTCTAGAAGGCTAAGATTCCTCCCCATACTCATAGCCCAAACACTCTCTCACACAATACATCAATGTATCATTCCAACTCACACACATCGACACTTCAAGATACTAAAAATCGTCACTCTTTCATATATAAAACAAGTCTCTACACATGAACTCTTCAAACTTGCTTGAAAGTCTCTTCCCTAACTTTCTATTTATACTACTTGAGAATTCACCATAGCACTAAATGATGATTCTTACCGAACTTACTTTTACAAAAATAAATTATAGTAAGTTTAACTAGTTATCAATACATGCCAACATGCCATTGACATTCTAAACCTTCTAGATGTTTACTAATCTCTAGATCGAGATGACGACATGCCATTTGTGCCTTTCGAACTTCTAGAACCTACTCTTGCCACTAAGTCAACATTAGACTTAGTCTGACCAATGAAGTTTTTCACCTTATTTAGTCAAACCAATCAAAACTAAACATAAAGTCAAAAGTCTTTTCTCTTGGAATCTATACTTTTGTACAATACAAAATAGAAGTGCTCACTCAAATCTTCTAGAACTTCTCTAGTTATTCTGTCAAGTATTGACATTATAGCAAAACATAGTTATAACTTGATAAATTTAGTTATAACTAGCTAGATTTAGTCATAACTAAGCTAACCATGATAAACTACTTGGCTACTTTTACTTCTATTTCACAAATAAAACATCCGGTCTTACAGGACACGGTGAATCGCGGATGACGATGAGTTGCGGACACAGTATGTTGCGAACGGCGTATGTCGCGGACAACGGTGAGTCGTGGATGCTGTAAGGCGTGGACGCGATAAAGCGTGGAAGCAATAATTTGCGAATGACGATGAGTCACACATGTATTAAGTCATTAAGTAAATGAAATCAAGCACTAGTTCATTTGATGAACAAGTTGAAAATGATTAAATGATACTAAGTTCAAGTTCAACATCATTTTCACATATAGACGTGCCCAAGATCAAAACTCAAGCAGCAATAATAGTGAATTTGTTGATGAAGAGAATTCATAGTCCGAAGCAACAAACCACGAAGCTAATTTTTTCCCAATCTAACAATTTATCTACAACGACAAAGAACATTTGTGCATACCAAGCGTTATCCAATAAGAGAAAGTATTTCAAGATTTAGATACAAAGATTATTTATACATGAAGATACAATCACATTTAAACATGCTGATTGAAGAACTGCAATGTGTAAGAGGTTGAATCAATTATCGAGAACAAAACATGGGAGATAATTACACAATGACGGATGAAGTCACTTTAATTATAACCAGGTGGATTTATAAAGTCAAAGTTGAAGCATTAGGAGAAGTTTTGAGATTTAAAGCTAGGGTAGTGGCTAAAGTAAAGAAACAATTAGAGCATGTAGATTTTTTTGATACTTTTGCTCTGGTGCTAAAGTGATCCACGATACAAACAATAGTTTGCTTAGCTGCAAACAAAATGTGGAAGATTCATTAGCTTGATGTTAAAATAACTTTCTTAAATGACAAGCTAGATAAAGATGTGTACATGTATGTGCTAGATGACTTGGACTAATCTCAAGAAAGTAAAATGTGTAAACTTTTGAAAGCTCTCTATGGTATTCGACAAACACCAAAGGCGTAGTACGAGAGAATCGATAGATATTTAACACAACATAAAGTCAAGGAGAACACTGCTGATAGTAATATGTGATGATCAGTACTTGATAGCAAGTATGCAATTATGTTACTCTATGATATGTAATACTTAGTCCTTGATAGCAAATATGCAATTTTGCTACTCTATGTTTATGACTTGTTATTTATTGAAGATAATCATCAACTAGATTTTGATTGAAATTCCATATTGAAATATTTGAAAAACACCTTCATCTAAATCCGAGGAATAGTGAGCAGATGAGAAGATCAGTTCCGGGTCCTGGAAAGGTACCTAGAACAACATACGGATTTGATCTATGGATTAAGCACATGCTTTTCGGTGCTTTTGCACCGAGCATTGGTGCAACAACATCCAATGTGAGAGCTGAAAGAAGGTTGGTTCTCACCACCCATTTGACCGTTTAAACTCTTCAAACTGCATCTAAGTGGTATGTAAGGTTTGTGATGTTCTTCAAGATAATTTGAAGAAAATCAACTTATCGACATTGTGAGATCATATACGAGATAATCATCAAGATGAGAGACAAAAAGAACACATGGCGTCAAACCTTTCATTCTTCATGCCATGAAGAATGAGCCTTCAAGAGGACTATAACTTTCCAACATTTGTATTGCGGTATCTAGCCGTGAATTATTAGGAGTGTGCATGCTCTCAGGTTGATGACTGCAGTTGAAAGCTTGAGCCTCGCACCGCCTTGGAAGATATAAAAATTTGGAAGATTGCACACAAGAAGATAAGAACACCTCTATTCTGACGAAGCTATGCTCAATTTGGCTCGTTTTCTCGTTCTTTAGTCCTACTAATAAGCGACAACTACTACAGATGCAATCCAAGGAAGGTAGAAGGGGAAAAAGCTGCAGTGGGAGAAATACTGAAATCTATCATAGAAATTCCTATCTGTATCGAAGATGAAGTCAACACGTCTCCATGTAAAGAAGAAAAGGCGATAGGCAAGATATAAGCGTTGTAAGCGTAAATTTGAGTCTTACAGACGTGCAATTTATTTCAGAGCAAAGTATTCCTTCGGCTACTTAGCGAACCTGCTTGTGGAGGTAAGATAGTGTGAAAATGGAAGTCTTTTTGGATCGTAACATGGATTGCACATGTGGTTTTCGGTTTCAATTTTTTTTTGTAGATATCAGCTTCAGTTACATGTTTTTTTTACAGTGTTTTGTCGTTTTCATTGTTTAATAATAGCTTGTTGATGACTCAATATTCTATTGGATGTATAGTAATTTACAGCTTTGATTCATTCTGATATTTTACCGTTATAAATCAGGATGATATAAAGTCAGTACGCGGATTAAGGAACAATTTACAATGAGAGGATTTCAAGGAAGGTTAAGAGTGAAAATTGGGAAACACATTGAGAGAGAATCAAGTGCAAGGAAATGTTAATCTTGCTTGGGCAACAGAGTGATTGTCTTTTTGTGTATTTCTCACTAGACTGAAATCTTGTAATGATGGCAAAAAGATCAAATCCCACAACATTGATTTTGGATATATACTCGAACTAGGCTTTCGAGTTGAATCTCGTGAATAAATTCTTGTGTTCTGTTGTGTATGTAATTGGGATCACTCCAATAAGGTTGGACTTTTTATCAATAGGAAGCCATCACCATTTCGGGAGGTTTAGTTCATTGTGATAGACACATTTATGTCATGCACGAACCCACTCGACTTTGTGAGCAATGTTGAGCTGGACTCTTATTGTTGTGTTCCATGGACTGGCTACTGACAGCCAGACAATTCTTCGAGAAGATTGCATACCAGCGTCACAGCATCACGAACCATAAGTAGTGGATAAACAAGCTACTACTAGTATAAGGCTATCTATCCGACATGTATAACCACATCTACACTGTACGAATACTAAAGTCGTCTATTCTCCTTTTCAGTCTGGTTCCAAGGAGCTGAAGATTGCCCGGTGAGTACATTAGTGCATGAAGCGATAAATTGAACAGAATGTAGAACAGTAGAACAAATCGAATTAAAGTTAAATATCATGCTCCCATGAATTACAATCGATGTGATTTGTTGCTGAGTGCGCGTTGATAAATAGAGACAAAGGTTGACCTTCACTCTCATCACTTTTATGAATGTCGTCAGTATATCTGAGACCACCGATTTTTTTATATCAACATTAGCTATCAAGCTGAGAATCATAGTCGAAAGCTTCGAAGTGCGATAAAATCTGTGTAGTGTGTATAACTCTAAAGTGAGATACTTTCTATCGTTTTGATGGTCAGCGATTGTGTACAGACGATTTTACGATATTGAAACTTAGCGAGTTGGTAACCTTGTCAATATTGATATCGTCTGTTTCATGAGTTTCAGATCAATCACGCACTGCTTACGCGCCGTGATCCCCGAAGCTCAAATGCCAAAAGTACGAGTCTGCGACTAAGAGTTCATGTACGAAACTACGTACATACGGTTCGTGGATGTTCCAATGGCAGCGGATGCATGCGGCGATGGGAGACGAGTCAAGAGATCAAGCGGACAAATTGAGAATCGACGAGGAGCGCTTGCATGGCGGACGGCTCGAGAGCAGTGTAGAGGGCGGCCACGTTCCCGGACGCAGGAGCTGGCGGCAGAAGGAAGATCAAGCCCACGCAAGGTCCTCCTCGCAGAGCATACGGACTGACGAAGAAAGGATTGCCGAAGCCGAAGTCCAGCTCGTACATGGGCAGCCGCAGCCACGAGCTCAGAATGAGCTTTCGCTCGCCTGGCCCTCCGAATCGGATCAGGTCCGACAGATCGTGCAGCAGACGAGGCAACTCCCCAGGCCTTATGCTTTTGACATTCTCGTGGACGGCCAGCGCCGCCTGCAATGTTGACGATGGCGGCGGCTCGTGGCCCAGTCGGACCCCGAGGATCGCGTTCCCCGAGTAGTGCTCGGGTAGAGGCGGCTGGCAGAATTTCTCTCGCCCTTCCGCTGCATACCAGATCGTCACTCGACTGCTGCAGCAGCTGCTGCTGCTGCTGCTGGTTGAGGAGGATGGTGCAGCAGGCAGCCTGGCAACGCACTGCCACAGCTGAGCAGTGATGCAGTCGAATGTGCTCAGGTGGAGCTCGGACCCGACGGCAATCTGAGCTTTCCTCTTCATCTCGTCCACTCGCTCCGTCTTCACGTTGAACAGTTTGGGCGAGAGGGTGACATTTTTCTTGACCTTGAAAGCTGCTCCCAGTTTGTCTCCCGCATTATCGATCGCCTGCCTCTGTGAGCTCGGAAGCAGGTCCAAATGCGACAGAGCTGGAGCGCGATCGTGGCTCGGCTCGATGGATGTTGTCCCGGTCGACGCCATTTCTGCCCATGCCTTGAGGAAAGTCCCGAATCCATACCCGTCCATCGTCATATGATTGCCTGTGACGCACATGGCCACTCCTCCACACTTGAACCTCGTCACCTGCCAGACTTGAACATATCGGAGGGATCAGTATTACATTTGGAACGAATTCATTCACCTCTCTTTTTGAAGGCCATAATTGCAGAACCGCATGAATTTGTGCTCTTAGTTCGTAGAGACACAAACAGGTACGCATAATTATATCATTGTTCCTGCATCCATTCATCCACTTACTTGGACGATCAGAGAAGGTAATGGAGCGTCCAGATTTTGGTTGTAAAGCGTGTGATCGAGCCCAGGCACAGCGATGAAGCCCGAAAGATCAGGAAGATTTTCCATGTCCTCCAGGTCTACAACACTATCCATGACATCGTCGATGGATGCTTCAACGAAAGGTACTCCTTCGTCATCACAGTGCAGCTCACGAATCCTTCCGTCGTCCACTTTCTTCCATCTTCCTGCCATCGGATAGTATGGAACTAGAATGTCGGCCAGAGACTGCTGCACCTTCTTCAGCATTCTCGAGTAGTCGGATCCTCCATCTTGCAGCCGGAAGAAGAAGATGGTAGGCACCAGCAGATCGATGCTTAAAAGATCGTAATACGATGCGTGGAGAACTTGAGGATGCGACACCTTTGAACTCGGGTGGATTCTCGTCACCTTAACATCGACTAGCTGTACTGATTTTGCCATGGTTGCAGAGAGAGAGATGGTCCCGGTGAAAGCCCTGCACTATCTCTGTTGCTGGAATGCAATCTGCTGCACGTCTCCGACCCAGCGCAGCGATTTATGCTGCAGATTGATGTGCAGTCAAATGGTCTGCTTGTGTGAGGACAACACTTCAAAAACTCTCCTCTCCTTCCTCTTCACTGTACCGCTGACAAAAGTATCGACACAAGTAAACTCGGTAACCTCTTCTTAGATTCTGCGAAGGGCAATTAGGTGTGTTACATGCACCAAGATAAACAGACAGACAGAGGGTACAGCGCTCGTTTCTGCTCCTGACCTCTGATTGCAAAGATATTCGAAGGTCAAGTCAATCTTGAACTCGAGCAGGGATCTCCTCGTCTACTTCGGAGCTACGGAGCAAGGAGCTCCGTAGCATCCTTATGTTTGGATTAGATTGCTTCTTTCAGAGAGTGATGCGAACGTGTTGAGCCAAAGCTCAGGAGAAATGAGTAGCTTCTTTTGGACACCAACACAAGCACTCGGTATTCCCTTACGTTCGGTTACCTTGTCAGAAGTTACACTCGAGACGTTCTGTAGATACGTAACAATCTCATCCATCTTTAAGGACTTTTGCACGAGTAATCATTCAATTCAGGCTGTCAAATCTGCCCACGCCTTGCAATCAAAGCAGAGTTTCCACTGCAATCTTCCAAGCGTACAAGAGAACGCCATGCTTTCTTCACGATGTTCTCCAGCACTAGCCCGGTTTCGTTGGCAGAGTCTTGAGGGTCCTGTGAAGGGTCATGCATGCTTATTGCCTGATCTAGTAAATGACGCCCAGACTTGTGGAAATGCGGTGTTTCAATAAGATCAGACTCCACTATTTCAACCTTCATGGGTTTGACATGAGATAGCAGCGAAACTGGGGGACTGTGCTTATGGATCCAACTCTATAGTCGTACTTCAACGGGAGGTGGAGTGTCTCCATAATGACTTTACCGCAGGGACTTTGAGTCAAGTGGGACGATTATCAGCCAGTCCTGGCATCCCTTTCAGACTTCATTTACAGACAACGAGTTTCGTGGTTCGTACAACGATTCGAGTGGTCTCTGAGTCACACACCGCCGGACGACTTACTTCCGTGAACATTATCTCACGTGAACGTCGTCGAAATTAAGACGAAACTACATCGCATTTATTCCATCTTTCCAGAGTTCTAGAATATCGCTACACGTATAAAGTACGCTCAACTAAAGTACAGCTGAAGGTCTTTCGTGTGACTTCCTGTTTCTTCCACACAACACCTTCCGCCTGTTCACAAACATCCTCTTCCTTTTAGAGGTATTGACAACTTCAACCAAGAGACTGTACATTTAAGTCCCGATCTTACTTTTCCACCCGGTTCGCTTGTCTCAGTACCTTTCTCGAGTAAAATGATGAGAGGCGAGACATAAGTACTTACACTTCGTACTTTCCGCTTACATCTGATACTTTCCGCCGTTGGCTCACGACGTTCAGATGATCCAGTGTTTAATTCGTCCTCTAAAAAGCGACGCAGAGTGAACTTTTTCTCATCTTTAAATCGAAAAGTTTGGGCATCTGAAAGGTTCATTTATTTCCAAATTTTGACAAAAAACCTAAAACTGGAGCAAGTTTGTAAAGATTCAGCTTCGGTAAGGTTCCCACTTTTATCAAATCGAGCCCATAAGCATATGAGGACTGAACAGGATGACCTCGATCGATATGACAGCAGAAGATTCTCAAATCGTGCAACATACTGGCCTGCGCTTGCAGGCATATCATAACCCCCACACTAGTCTTTAACCATCAAGAGGAGAACCGATTGGACAATTCTCATCACGAAATAATGACGTCCACCTAACGAAGTAAAGCACTCGTGTTCCATGACACTGCACCTTATGAACACTGTCGATACAGTTTTTCCACGAGGAGAAGGAATCCTAGTATGAAGAACCTGATATGATTGAGGAATGATGAAGATGAATATCAATATAAACTCATCGACAAACCTGGCGTTTAAAAAATTTATGATCAGACTGAGGTGAAAAACCTTCAATACAATTCCAGGCAACACGGCCGACAGGTTGACCTGGTTTCTTGAATCATAGGTTGAGCTATGCTACTGATGTCACGGTTGACCCTTCCCTCATATATCCCTAGTATACATAGCAGACATATGACATTGGTCTTAATCTACAAACACATCTTCATACGTTGTAGTCTTCCTTTGTCAGGAAAGATATCTAGCATGTCAAGAAGGGAGGTTCTCAACGATGACTTCATAAGCTGTACAAGATTGATCAACCGATTCCAAAAGGGGGAATGTAAAAACAGCTCAGGAGGAGTCAGCTGGCTGCAATATATCTCTTGCCGTGCCTTCCCTGCGAAGAACTGAACTAGCATCTGCCTATGATAATCTGGACAGAGTTGTCAAAATACTTTACAAAAATCAGACCACTTACAGCAGGTGCAGGGACGAATAAAAATGCTCAATTACGACAGCTCGAAGCCGGCATTTGAACAGATGGCATACCGCAATTTCTCTCTAAGCGTACTCAAGCGCTTGTAAGTGGGCAACTGCGACACAGACACGCATTAAACGAGAGAATTCAACACTTTGATTGAAAATGACAGTTAATCAAAGCTTTGAACAAGACCTTCCGGTTAGACACGACATGACGAATTGAACGACCCAACACTGAATGCTATCATGGTCTAAGAGTCACTCGATAAGTTAGCCAACGTATGTTACAAACCTGGCACAGGGGATAGCGACAACAATCACCTTAAAATTCATGAAATAGAAAAAAGTGAAGATAGTAACAAGACTAACTTAGGAAAGAAAAATTTAAGTGTTTCAATTCTGTACCCTTACCGGAGTGACACGAAGCATATATATAAGCAAAAACCAAGAGACGTGATGTAGCCAACGCTACAAAGTCAGAACTGGACGCAAGGAAGTGACTAAAAATTATTTTTAAGGCCTTGTTGTAAGTTCGCACTCGTGTCTGTACAACAAGCCCTCAAAATATAATTTTCTGTCACTTCCGTGAGTCCAGTTCTTGTTTTGTTTTATACCATTGGTTACATCACGTCTCTTGTTTTTGGCTGATATACGGATCACTTCTAATAAGTTGATCCGTATAGAAGACCAAGAACTAGGTAGTGTTTCACAAGATAGAAAATCGAAGCCTGACGATACGTGTACTTGCTGCTTAATAGATTACTGCAGTCTGACTTCGATATACTTTCGATGGAATTCAAACAATGTGAAAATTCTGGAGGAAGGTAAGACAAAGACCTTCAATGTGTTGTAACACGTGGATGCTGATGGAAGTCTTTCTACGTCTTGTCCTCCAATAATGGCCCAAACCGGTGCATCACATACAACCTGCCATTCCAACTAGCCGTTAAGTAGAGAATTTGTATCTTCGTTGCTCTTAGTCCCTTCCTAAATTGTCCAATAGCTTCACTGCTCGTGTATGCAAAATATGGAAGAGTTGTCGTCGTATACACCTTGTGTATCGTGAAAGCAGGTTGAAGATGCTTGAATCCCAGCAAAGGTGCTCGCGAACAGCTCGTGACAAACTTCAGTAGAGCACAACGTTCGTGAGCTTCAAGTCCGGCAACAACCTGGAAGTAGACATGGACATTTTAAGTAACTGAATGATCGAAAGACAGCACCGACATCAACTGAATCCTGGCACTCTTAAGACTCCTAGTAAGCTGAGATGCCATCGTGACAAGATGTGTGAGATCACATGTACGGCCAGGTATCCTGCATGATATTCACCTCCCAAAAGAGCTTGACAGTCCGGCTGCTGTCAGTGAACCCCCCCGTATAGCGAGTGTGGGCCCTTAAGTCCTCGACATCGAAATCATGTTCTCCACCTGAAAGCAGCTACACTAGCACATCACATGGCCAACAAAGGCCACCGACAGCTCGTCAGATTAGAGAGGATAGAAGTCAAGAGATAATAGCAGCAATATATATAACACAAAACAGGAGTGATTTTGCCAACATGCAGGAAAGGAACTGAGGAGTCAGGACTAAGGACTATGCAGGTGAACACTGGAACCGACCAGCGAAATAAGGTTAGATTGCACAATGTAGACCAGGGAGGGGCGAGGGAAACGAACGGGCTACATCCGGAAAGGTGGCAGTCCATTGTGCTAGACGACAGAGATCTAATTTAGACTAGCGCGCAGTCATAAATTCTACCTTAACCAGGAAAGATACTACTGTACGTTTACTAAGCATATTACCCGATGAGTTATAATTTGGAAAAGAAGGAAAGTAGTCATAGTCCAGGACAAATGACCTACCTGATTGAATTCCTTGGCATTGAAGAGACCCAACCAAGAGGGGGCTATGAGATCTGACAATCCTTTGATAAAGGCTTGTATGATCGGTCTCATCTGTATTCAAGACGACAATCAGTTAAGCAATTTCAATGACAGGTATTCCACTCGTGCATATCTCGATCCCTTTGCTTCCATTCAAAAACCGACGATATAGAGTCTATACCTGGCGATTCAATTTGTAGTCTGCCATCGCATACACATAAACAAGCTTGTTTTGGTTTGTCACAGCTATGTCAGCTCCACCTGGTCGGAGTTCCACAACAGAGTGTTTCCCAAAAAGCTCCTGAGTCACAGTGAAATCTAGTGCTAGATCTCGCGCATCGTCTTCGTAATGCTGTAAAAACACCCATATTTCACACATTCGGTATGCTATCTTCAGTGTATGCGATCAACAGCTCAAGCATTATACATAAGAACTCAGAGGTCTAGTTTCCCTGTACATTGCAGCTCTGTCCATCTCCATCTGTACATACTCTAACAAACAGTGATTCCTGGTATTTTCCTGTCATGGCCTCGAGAAATTGTGATATACAAAAGTAGAGAACATATTTTGAAGTTCTAAAATCGAGAAATGGCAATCATATGTGGAAATTCGACCTTGAGATACATAAGATTTCGATGTAGCTCGACATCAAGGCTTGACAGATCATCGAGAAAGCTAGAGCGACCGAGTAACTTTGCTACAAAGAGAGGGGAAAAGGAATACTCCAGGAGAATGCCTTCATAGAGTGCTTTTCCAATAATCTGTCCCAAAAACTCAATCATCTGCAACCCATGCACTAAACTTGCAGCAGCTTGATGTGGGTACAGCAAGCCTTCTTCTGTCGCAGTCTGAACAAACATACCATACCTGGACAAACTGAAAGACATCAGCCCTTCTTTCTAAAACCCAGGAAATGCAGGATGAACAGATGTTAAATCAAGTTCTTACAACGCTTTTGAAATTTAGAATCTTACCCGGGGTCGAAAGCAGACTTCGCAAGGTTCGTTAGAAACTCTTTGAACAAACCACCGTAGTCCAAACCTGCTTCTGACAATCCCAGCTCGTTCACAAATGAAACGTTGATGCATGACTTCAGCTTGGAGCCCAGGCCATTTAGTTGTGCAAACCCATCTTCTACGATGTGATCCCGTCTAACAGCAATTTCAATTGTCCCAGGTCCAGGTCCAACAGCCTCTCCTCCCATCCTCTTCAGCATCTTATCTTGTTTCACGTGATCTCTAAAAATGTGCACCCTGTAGCAGAAAGGGAGATCAGATAATAATCTAATACCTATGTTCAGAACTGACCTCGTCCGTAACGTGACTTCAATGAGGAGCTCCACGAACATGATGACCTGATACACTGTATTCATGGTATTGTTGTAGGGAATTCGAAAGGAGGTTAAGATATAACCTTTTCTCAAATGGAAGTACGTGTGGAATCGTGGTGAGCACAGCGCCTAGCCCAGAGCCTTGAAAAGTGTCACCCATTTTTGCAGAAGCGGTGGAAACTTCTCGGTGTGCGCGGGCAGCAGCAGCAGTGTGAAGGTCCAAGGAAGTAGCTGGGGCAAGCCATAAAGCAGCGTCACAAAAACTACGTCGGCAATCCCTCTCGTACAGGGAACGCAGACATCTCACAGCTGCATCCATCAAAGTAGCATCTTGACCCTTGGAAGGAGTCATGAGACCGTAATAGACCATCGTATTTAACATAGCTGCAATAATCCGTTGTTGTTCCAGTGTAAAAGGAAACTGCACGAGCCACATCGTAACCAAAACGAATGAACACAAGAGAGGGTTATTTCTTTGCCTCATATACATTATGTCATCGAACCTCTAAAACAGAATTACTACTCCCCACTTGAGAAGCACTCCACAAGACTACTCTTGCATTACCATAAGTCTCTTTAACCATTCTCAAGTCCTTACAGTTCGAAAAAATCGAAGGATGCAATTCGTCTTCAAGCATAATAGATACAATTACTCGCTGACCTACTGACGAAAGCTTTGGCCCAAGAAGTCATGGGAGCAGAAAACGATGAGACTCCACAGTTAGGTTAAGTCTTACTCGACAAATGACAGCTGGCTTCAACCGCTCATCAACACGTAACGACGAAAAAAAATCCTCACTCTAGCTAATGAGAAACTAAAGTTGCATTGAGCGTTATTACATGGAAGACTGTCCTACCTGTCTCTCGTAGAATTGTTCGTCATCCATCACCACCAACAAGTGAGCATACGATGCACAAAATAGTGAAAGCACCGGCACAGCATCTGATGGAACTCCCACAGGACCCTTTCTCATTGCCTCTAAAGCCCACAACTGGGAAGCACCCAAATCAGCTTCGGACTCCCTCGACGAATCCAGCTTTTCCAAATTTGAGCTGCCCGCTTTATCCGCTGTGGTACTCCCCTCAGCACCAGAACTTCTCGTTCTCATTTTCAAAACAAGTGCAGCTGCCCACTTTCCACCTGCATTCTTAGCTTGATTCCCGTCTTTGGGGGCGAATGAGCTTCTGCTGGATGGAATGGTTGACTTTGACGAATACCCTATAGAAGTTGGTAGCTTAAGGGAAGACCTCAGCCAGTCCCATAGAAGCGGGAAGAGTGACTGGGATAAGGCTAAGACATCCAAGACCGGATATCCACCACTTAGATTAAAAGCAGTAAAAGCAGCTAGCAAGCTAGAATAGAGCTTTGCAACTTCTGGTAGTCCAAGAGGCTTCTTCTCCTTAGATGATCCTCCCTGCAAGGCCTGTATCCCAGCAGGATCCTCTTTTGCAGAGGTGGAGTTCCTACAAGCTTCGAGTAGTTGCTGGAGATGCCAGGTCTGATGGACAGGTTTCAAATTCTCCTGGAGAAGTTGATGCACAGCCGTGAAACTATCATTGCTACTGTGATCTATAGAACCACTAGCACTGTCCATAAATATTCCAAAGTGATTTACGTCACCTTCATCACAGTCTTCAGAAGTATATCTTGATCTAAAACGCTGCTGCTGCTGTTTGCTGTCGATCCAGGGTCTCAAATCACTCAGTAAACAACAAAGGGCCTGTACATAATCCTCGAAATCCAATCCTTTAACAAACGGTCCCGCGATTTCTTTGCCTTTAAGAGTTGCTGGGCCTGATCCAGAAGCCAGACTGACCATATTAGCCAAAGCCCATAGTGAAGGGGGAAATATTTCAAGTTCCTGCTCTACTTTACTCATCTGCGTATGAGATGAAGTTGCAGCCTTCATCGGTCCGCTCATAGAAACCTGCGTGATAAATACAACTTCTAAGTTAGATCAGGCGTTCGTAGGTCCAACCGCAAGACCTACTAAACCACAAGCATCTCGAGAACCGACAAATTTTTCCATCCAGAAAAAAGGGGAAAAATCGACAATTCCTTACATCCGGACCTGGATAAAAGAGGCGCACTTCTTGTCACTATACCGATCTTGGCGACGTCAACGTACACACAGAATCATGGGAGGGATAAATAGATATTCCAAATCAGGTCTCACTCGTAGGTCTCTTACTGGGGTGCTGTGACTTAGTATCGCCTTACAGCCTAGAGCACGGCTGTGTTTGGAACCAAACTCCGAGGTGGGCTAGATATTTCACCCGTTGTCCCCTTATAGCACTTGCAAAGCCAAGCAAAACCATACTGCCTCCAACCTTAGCCTGAAGAAAAGAACTGAAGATGGGACAATACTCACCCCAAATGACCGAAGACAAGGTGCCAGCGCAGAAGGGTGCTGAAGGGCAGGGACAAGTGAAGGAGGAATGCGCTGAACAAGGAAAGGTATTGTAAGTATGTGGGCAGCAAAACTTTCTGCTGCGCGAACACATGAGGCTTCTGATGTTCGGTTGCCGTCATTTGCTTCACGTTGAGCTGGATACGCTGCCGACAAGACAGTTAAGGGCCTTAAAGCCATGGTTATAGCACTTGCTGTGACAATGAACTTGTCCCGTTCTGGAGGATGATCGTTATCCTTGCCAGTCTTTGGGATGGGGAAATTAGTCAACACATAAGAACGAACGGCCGGAAAAAGCCCCGAGTTCCCCTTTACCAACCACTCAAGGAGACCCAGTACAGCTAAGTTGGCCTTGTCTCGGCTCTCTTGCAGAGACGAACTCTTCCACATGCTTGCATCCGTCATCGCGACCATAACACGCATGGCCAAACCTGGCAAGATTGTCCTTGCTCCTTCTATACTGTTCCATGCAGAGCCGTCGTTCGCCAAAACTGCACTGCAGAGTTCTAGGATCTTGTGAGCTTGATAAACCCATCTGGATTGCTCCTCTAAGGAACCGATGGCCAATGAGCAGTAGTTGCTTCGAGGATCTGCGAAAATCACCGAAAAAACAAATTATGTGTATTTCGTCCATCGAGAAAGCCATCGAAATGCCGTCTCTCTTGTCTGTGAGAAGTGGAGCCCATATTCTCCCGGCGACGGGCTCCACTTTTGTCAGGCAAATACTCATCACTGAGGTCTGATGCAACATCCTCGAATAGCCCCTGACACTGCTACAGACGAACATCATGAGACGATTCAAATCTAAGAAAAGGAACGATAAACATAGCTAACATATGCTCCACTATGCGCAAGACTCTGATCGAAGAAAAGCTTTGGCGATAAGACTTACCAGTAGAGCTGATACTATCAAGAAGAAGCTTGAAGCATGGAGCGATTCTGCCCACGTTCTTGGCCGCTCTTGAGCCGTGGAACGAGAGGCCTGAAGGACGGCTAAAGAGGAAGAGAAAAGGTCTGAGGACCTTCTGAGATATGTCGTCTGCTGTATAGGAGCCATGAATGTGCTTTTTGTTAATTATCCCTGCATCCCAGTCTGCTCCTTCCCGCTCAACTGCTTCTCGGGCAGCCCTTCGTCCTCTCCAGACCCTCTGTAAAGAACAGGAACAGAGATTCAGTTCTCACACTGTCAATCCCCATCGTAATCATACTCTTGAACCGACATCTAAAAAGACCCAGATTACTAAATAGGCAGAAGCCAGGATTAGTGCCAACAGCAGGAACTTCAATTGTGCGCACTACAAGTCAGGGAAAGCTGATTCAGAGAAAAAAAGAGTGTTACAATGAATTCGTTGGTTGAGTTTTGAGATCTCGGAGTAGATAATTACACGTGATCGAAAGAAACTATCATTGTTGTATCCATCGAGTACAGACAACTTCTTGACTGCAGATTGTAGGTACAAGAAGGAGCCTCCTCACTGGACCTTTTCAAAAGAATGGTCATAGGAGTTCACCTGGATGAGAAGCGACGATGCAGCTCTCTGGCGATCATGGGAACGGGATTCTCTTTCCTTCGCAACTTTCTTGATAAAAGCATCTCTGGGCACCTCTTTCGCGCTTGCACCTCTGAGAGACACCTGATGTTACGATGACCACACACACCAGAATCAATAAACGACATGTACACGCTCGCAGTTCAAAACATGAACGACATAAACAGCAGTGATGTAAGATTGAGCTTGAAGATTTTAAGACATTGGAGGACAACTGAACGATGAGGAAAGCCGCATCTCCCCACAACAAGGCCTAAAGAAAGCATCCCTCTAATTGTCGCCTTCTTGGTCAAAGGTCACGGCTTTTCTGGCAACAAGGATGACACTAACTAGGAATCTTCATGCTCACATATCTCCGGACATCTGCGTAATTATGCGAGAGATGAACTAATTCGAGTAACATGACCAGCTCCGCGGAACCGAATTTTTGCCACACAGGCACAAAAGAACATGGACATTCCAAAGTAGGATGAATTACGTTAGCTTACTGGTCCTAATCCCTGAGGCAATATGTGCCTTCCTCTTTCCCTCGCTGTATGCTAGAGCCGATTAAATGCTCCGGGTCGGAAAAAAAAAAAAGCAGGCTCCAACTGGTACAGTGGACGGAGCAAAAGCAGTCAGCTCACCTTGGGACCTCGCCCAGAGTGTTGCATTGCACTCTCTGGAAACTATCCCGAGGTACGACTCACGGGAAGAACACAATCACAAACAGCACCGGCTCGTCTGCACAATTCCAGATGCATCGCTTCCAATGCAGCTATGCATCACGACGTCAATCTCGCATACCGCAATTCCGGAGCTCCCCAGCAATCGCAGAACAACCCTAGCAATTCGCCAACGAGGACTACATGGTCAAACGCAGCACAGATCGGCTCGGAGACGGCCAATTCCGAAAGGCCCTCGATCATTTCGACACTTCATATCACCAATTTCCGCCGGACTGTAATCGGCACGTCGCTTCCGTGTTACCAAGGCCCCAAATTCTGTCACTTTTTACGATTCTCCTCGTCCTCTGTCGCCGAAGCCCCCCAAGAGCTCCCCCTCCCTTCCCCTTCCCCTTCCTTCCCTTCCCTCGCTCCACTTTCGCCCTGCTCTGAGACGACCCTTTGTCCGACGGTAGGACCGGCTTTCCATTGGCCTCCCGCTCCCCGTCCCGCCAGCCTGGGTCCGCCAAACCCTGCTGCTGCGGGCGGGGGCCATCGGCCGACCCGCGCTCGATCTCGCCCTTCCTCCTCCTCCGAGACAGAGATGCCGTTTGGGTCCCCCCATGCCATTCTTATAATACTTATAATCCCCGCTACATACGACCTCCTCCACCAACCTTCCGTCGTCTCTACTACTACTACTACGACGGTGCGCGACGGTACATAGTCGACAGCCAACGGTCGAACGTTCGCAAGATGCTGGTGGGGAGATCCTGACACAGCTTTCTGGGCTCCGACGAGTACAGTGCAGTACAGTACAGTACAGTACTGTCCTTCCGTCGGGACCATGTAGAAGTAGCAGTATCGAGGTCTTTGTACAGTACAGTGTACGGAGGGCGTCGTCTACAAGTACGAGTGACCTGATTCTGCAGGTCACAGGTACTCGTCCTTTGTACGCTGCAGCTCCAACGGCAGAGCCAGCTATCATACGTCATTTATAAGAGCGAACCGAATTTCGATGGCGCAGGGACGTAACCGGTACGTTTAATGCTTCCTTGCGCCTTAAATTGTCTTGGGCGATCCTTTATGAGATGCGATGACATAGATAAACATCTGCAGTGGAGCTCGTCTCACTGGCGTAGCGTGGTTTGATGGTTACTTGGGCACTTGGAATGTCGGCCCACACGTCTGAAGAAGAAAATCTACTGATATCACGACTACCGCTGTCTTCAGGTTCCGTACTTCTACGGACCTCAAGGCGTTCGCAATTCTGTATTCCGAGGTGTATGGTGAGGACGAGTGATCGATCTCCACGAGCATCGACATCTATAAGACAGAGAGAGAGAGAGCGGAGATGACTAGTAGAGCTTTTGCGTGAGTGAAGAATACAATGCTTGCTCTATTTGTAAGACTCGACGCAGGAAGTCACTGTTTCGGTGACTGAAACTCGTCCCGATACAAAGATGGCGATCTAAATATACTTGATGATAGAGCAGCTGGTGAGGTGTATAAATAGAAAGAGAAATTGTAAAAATAGAGGAACCACAACAGTAACGACATATAGTTCGCACAATAGCTCGGCTGGCTGGCTGGCTGGATTGGGGAATATATGGTTCTACTGCACCTTCCTGATGCTACCAACTTACTGAAAGCCAACACAAGATTGACTAACAATTGAAACGATGAAGAGATTCAGAAACAGAAAGCGAAGAGTCGCATCCATAGCAGTTCATCACTCCACGATATTTATCCATCCGAAGCAAAGGTCAAGGGACGGGACGGCTGAAGAAGATTTCTAAAGACGATAGTTCGACACAATCACGATAGAGCCTGAGACGAGAAACGTATGGTAAGTGGCATATTATTATCCAACTGAGTGAACAATGGGGTTGCTCTCTCTGCTACGTCTATCTTCGGCACTACTGATATATGGAACCCTTCACTCAAACATATTATACAAGCGTTCCTACGTTGTTGAAGTTTCAGTTCAGCTCTTCCTCTAACCTGATTACACTACGAGGAAGTTGAAACTCGACGTAAAGTGGATAATGGTCGGAGGGATAGCGGTTATTTCCTCGATCACTCACCACTTCACTGTAAACTGGGGCAAGTGAACGACTACGAAATAGCACCCAATCGACGTGCAAATCTTGATTTTGTCGATCAAAACACATACAGAGAGCCATGAACACTAGTTTGAGAACATCCATGGCCGTTTGCTTCTCACCTAACAGAAAACGCAACTGGTAAGTATTGATCTCTACTGCAAAACTTCGAAAGTCCAGCCTCTCTACCATAGTGTTATGTTTCTTCTCGCCACTGCTATCTTATCTCAAAGCACTCCCACGCTACCACAAGTTCAGAGCCACAGCGCATTCCAGTTCAGCTACAGTCGTATTCAGGTTATCGTGCCAGTTGACGGGCTATCTATAGCCTTCTTTCAACGATGAAGTTGACGAGTATATATGCAACTCCAAAGCATACGAAAAATGCGAGAAGACGTCATCTTTCAAACAGAGTTTCTGATTTGAGCTAAATGGGACTCCTGCATACGAGCTCCAGTCAACAGCTGACCGTACAAGTATGTACAGCCCATTCAGCTAAGACATGTAGAAGACTAACCTCGAAAGCCGTGTTGAGTGTAAACAATGCCCCCATTTCGCCGCCGCCTTGAACCTCCCCATGCATCTCTCAAATCACCCGCTATTCCATGCTCACTGCAAATCATATAAAAAATTGCTATCACTCTAGTGCAAATACGGCTTGGCACTCATTTTCAGTTCGAAGTACCAAACGCATTTATGACAAGTGCTTGTCTTAACGCATAGACGGAGAGAACTCTTCTGCAATAAGATTCCCGGTGTGATGCAAACTCTGATGGTCCTATAACATACTTTCGGGGCCTTAGACCTGCCATAATAGGCTACCCAGTGGAACTGACATGCCTAAATAACTTCTGCAGCATCGATTTTTACGATTTTCGAGGAGAACTGCATGTCGGGCAGGACATCTGGATGGAATCCAGATGTCGCAGTCTTCGAGAATGCTTTTCAAGTGCCACGATTCAAACCCGTCCGGGCTCCAAATATGAGGCTGAAGATAAGCAGATTTCAAATTACACACAAACAAACCAGAAAGAACTTATAGAACAAATTGCTGAAAGATGGATTCAAGTTCCAGATACCACAGAGGAAATATACTTACCGCGATCTTCCAAGAAGGAACCGTCCAGCTCCAGATTCTTTCACAGTATTGAATGTACCGCAGAAGATGACTGGCAGATTGGGAGGAAGAGTTGCGATGTGCTGCCATATGAGAAGAGCACCCCGACGCCGAGCTCTTGAACTCTTTGGGTCAAGGTGAGTGTTCACAATTTGGAATGCAAAGCCCGGCGGTTGTACCCCTCTCAACTGGAACGTGTGCGGAAGATAGTTAAGGCTGACAATGAATAAACTTGCGAAACTAACCGGGAATTTACAATTCAACAAGGTGTCAACTTGATTGCAAGTTCAGTATTACAACTACTTGATTGTTTGACCCCAGTTGATTAGCAACAACGCTCGTACTAGCAAACTGACCAAGTATTGCCAAAACGTGCGCAATCAGGCTGCCGTATTGATCTGGCATGGGCAATGGACATGCTCCTTGAGTAGGGCGAATCCTGACTTCGAGTCTGAGCTAGTATTCACTTTTGTAACGACAGGTATTCACAAGAATTCCACCAAAGTGTGCGACGAGGATATGACCCAAGTTGCAATCGCTGGAACTTCAGCGCTCCATGACGTGCTGGCCGGTACTGAAGGGGACTCTGACAACCAGAATGTTCCTCCGTCCATCTTCTCCACCTACAGATGACGACAATAAGTTCGATAAGATGACGATAGTCACCTCCCCGCATGCTTCATCCTGAATTTTCACAAGAAAACAAAAGCAGCGTATATATACCTTGTCTCTGGAATAGAATATTGCACAGTGCTCATCACTTGGATCATCAGGACCTTTCCTCGATACACCAAACTGCTCGTATCCTTCACAGAAAGGGAGAGCATGAGCCAACCTCGGTGCACGGAAGTACAACTGATGAAGTAGGGTAAATTCTTGTTAAGCACCAATGTCAACACAACCATCGACGGTACATTCAACTGCGCATGATCTTCAAAGAGCATCACAGAAGAGAGTGGGCATGTGTAGATTATGGGCATTAGTATTACCAGGTAGCAAAGCGTTTAAGTCGTCCAGCTGAGACTTGAGACCTGTACGATCTCCGAAAGTTTGGTAAAAGTTACAGGCCGGACTGATATAACTGAGTCGATAGAGACACACATTTTATCATCACGAACAAGTCACGCAGTGAAGATGACACACATTGTGAATCCTTCAAAGCCTTAACATTTGAGGTGGGAATGGCAAATGAGCAATTTCAGTCTTCTGAAACACAAGGAGGCTGGATGCTTTGCCTCGGCAAGAACTGGAGAGAGGAAAAGCGGACCTTCCTGCGTGCAGACAATGAGGGGAGAAAATTTGTTGATTACGCTAGCGCACAGGTCCTTACGATGTTCCCACGAGTTTTGCCCATCCGTCACCCTGTCCCGATGCAAATTAAAGGTCATGACTGTCAAAGACATATTATTGCTGGATGCAAAGTCGCTCATTCTCCTTCCGGGAGACTCCGGCTCGGTGTCTGCCATGGCGTATGGCTGTCGCTATCTCTTCTTACAAAAACTTTTAATGAAATGCAGATTTATAATCTTCTCGGACGCAGTGTCGTCATAACCTAGCAACTAATTCAACAGGCTCCTATCGGTCGCCGTGCATCCACAGCCACAGTACAGAAATTCTCATGCTGTAAGGTTCTCGCCGCTTCTGAAAATTCAAACATGTCTTTACTCTTGAGACCGAAATTGCGCCCTATCTCCACCGCCACCAGCTTGTCGAAATCGAAACTTTCCGACGTTCCGCCAAATCCCATCAAAACTCACAAAATCTCACATCAAAATTTTCCGCTGAACAGAAGCCGTCTCCGAGAGAGCAACGGAGGTACTGAGTCGATGGTCGAGAGAAAGAACCCATTCTCCACACCGAGCAGTTCCTCGGGTCAAAGAGAAACTGCCATCACGATGCTCCGGTTGCAGCAGAGATTTCCAGAGCCGAGTGTTGAAGAAGAAGGCCCGAGAGTTTGTGTCAGTCGTCGTCCTCCTCGTCCTCCTCTTCTTCGTCTTCTGTACTGTCATCACTGGCGCAAACACAAAAAGTGCCCAACGGGCTTGTGGCGCTTGTGGGCCCGCGGAAGTCGAGCATGAGTGCCGTGCTCTGCTCGCTGTCCACTACTAGAACGACTTCGCCGTGAGCTTCGCTTTACAAGGACCGCCTGGAAGAAATCCTCACACGTAATCGCAGACCGACCGACAGACGGCTTTGCTCCATCCTCGCACGGCTTCCTCTATCCTCTTTTGCTATTTCCTTGGCCCCCGTTTCATGGGAAAACCTCGTGAAATAGCCAAAAGGGTGAAACCGAGGGCGAGCCCCAATCCCGTCGCAGTGGTAACTGTATATGGGGCACATACCCTCTCGTTATTCTCCATATTATTGAGCATATTATTTAACATCACACGAAATTCCATAACAATTCCAACTATTCCATAAGAAATAGTTCATCATCAAAAATGAAATATAATATCTTTAGAATAGAATGAATCCAAGAAAATAATACCTAACGGGAAAAAAAATCGTGGATTGCAATAATAATTTTCGATAAAAGAATATGTTCTTACTTCTTAGAAATACCTTTTAGGCTATAAGAATAAATCATATATTTTCTGTATCGCTTCTGTGAGAGAACTCAGAAACGTCTGAGCTTCAAGAAATCGAGTCGGTTGGTGGCGCAGGTACAAGGCCAATGCGTCCATGAAGTCAACCAGATAGAAAGAACGCCTACTCGGTATAAATAGAAAGAAAGAGCGCTCACATTAACTAGGGTCAGCAGGCTTGTCTAGAGATGACAATCGTCAGCACCACCAGTGTCATTTACAGAAGAAGATGATGGCCTAAAGTGCCATTGAAGATCTGCTAAAACAAGCCAAACAAAACAAAGCGCATATCCAATCGAACCAGTTCCGTGTTAATCGCAGATGTTTGGTCGGTCCCTCGAAACTCGTGTCGTCCTGGTGGGACCGACTAAAAGTGCTTTGACAACATCGTGTCAATTAAATGAAAGCAAAGGTCGGAGGAGCACGGGTAATATAGCATGTGTCATAGGGGTGAAACCAAATTCTATTTATTACTCGATTGATGGTGCATTCCATCCTTTTGTTATACTACTTGGTGTCCAAGAAGGTGGCTAGCCCCGATTTCATCGCAATGGACATATACGCCTCAACTACTAATCGTGGATTTGTTGTTACGGGCCAAGCAGCAAGAGTAGCTAAAATAGTTATAAATGCTGTTAAGAAAATAAGTCCTATTGAAATTCCATCAATACTTAGGCTCCAGCTCCGAAAAAAAATAGATTGATTTACTAAAGAAAATGGAAAAGTGTATGTCTTAGATTTGTATGAAATACACCTTTCCATTTTAATTCTTTCAACTATTTCTGTATACTAATAGTTTTCCCATAACTGAGTTTGATTAATAAAGAAATGAAATTATTAAAACAGAATTTGCAATAATAGTAGTACTTCTATACTTAAGAATTCAAGCGATCATCAGCTGTGTGACTGCTTTAGCCACTAATAACTGAATAGAACGAGGGATACAAGCCCAAGTAAAATGATCATCCACAGCATACTAAGTGGAATGATATCATGTTGTAAACTAACATGAATATGTCTAAGTCCATAGCTTCAAAGACTTGTCATTACTATGGTTTTGTATGTATAATTGCGGTATTATACCACTGTATTATACAGCACTCTCAAACCATATCTTGTATAATTGTATAATAAAAAGTCTGACACGAGTCCGAATGAGACCCTAAATGAGAACATTGCGGAATCCAAATGAGTCTGACATGCAAACCATGGTGTTCAAAATTCAGAGAATTTGAGGATTTAGGGTTGCTACAAGGTGTGAGATTTGAAATTTCAGATATCAGATTTGTCATTGTTTATTCAAAATGGGGAACCTAAAAGATGCTATTTGGGAGAAATTTGGAGCTTGTTAAAGGCAGAGTGATGCGAGGTCAATGTACTGCAAGTGTCCTTCTTGCAACGAACCAGTGGATAGCATGCGCGATCACTATGCTGGCTGTAAGAAACGGCCGCGGTCAATAGGCCAGTTGGAAGCTGGGTTCCAGCCATCTCAAAAGAAGATGGTAACATTGACAGTTAGTTCATCGGCCCCAGCCAGCAACAACCAGAGCAAGTCAGTGTTCCCGAATGATTCCGAGGACGATTTCTTCTCCGGTGGTTGGAAGCATTTTGATATCTTGAAGAAGGACGAACAACAGAACCTCGATACACTATTTGCACGTGATGTTCATCGCACGGCTATGCCATTTGCTGCATTTGAGCATCCAACATGAAAGCTTTTCTTTACGTCGCTTCGTGGCTGCTTTCAACTCCCTTCTACATAAGCTACTGGTGATCAATTGATGCGGATGAATACATATATGTCATGAACGATGTTCTTCTCGCACAGAGCAAGATGCCGCTTATTTGCCTTACCTTGGATGGTGCCACGAATGTGCAAGGCAAGCAGGTTATCAACCTGATGGCTTGTTCACCAATTGCAATGTTCTTGGAACATTTTACAATAGAACTGCATAGAGAAAGTGCGGTGAATTTGTTGGAAAAAATTTTGGACTGCGAGTTGTGCCTTTTGGAAAATATTTGTAAGTTGGCTCCTGGTTTTGTCTTATCGAGAAATTTCGAAAGGATTGTAGATCTCAACAACGATGTTGAAATCGTAGAATAGCAGGGTGAAGAAGGGATGCCCTGCTATAAGAATGAACACTTCGTTAATCCATCGATGTTCTGCTTCTACAGCGATTCACCAAGCGTCATGGTTAAGCTGCGCAAGGAATGTCTTAAGTCTAACGAGTTCATGTTTACCTACGGCTTTGCACCCCATGCGATCCGCAACCTTTGCATGGATTTGTGTAGACATTTTCCAGGATTAAATCGGGTTTTAAAACAGATTATGTTCATGGTGAAGACGTTCAAGTCGTACCATCTTCTACTAAAGTTGTTTGACAAGCTTTCCATTGAAAAATATCGGAAAACGTACGTGTTAATCCTCTTTACGAAGACCCGATGGGGTACTGTCTACTACGCCGCTTAGCGTGCCAACATTGTCAAATCGGCATGTGCATCGTTCCGAGGTGAAATTCTTAATGTCGATTATGACATTGATGTATCCCACATACTGAAAGCTTTGGTTATAGATCAGTTTTATTGGAAGTGTGTGTCTGCGATGGAAGCACTGTTTAAGACAATTTTCTCATGTTTAACATCTTTGGAAGGAAATGAAGCTACATTTTTTGCTGTGTATGTATGTTTCGTGACGATCAAGTTTCACGTAAAGACGTTGAATTCCACTGTCAAGAACGCATTGGATTTGACTGAACATAATATTGAATGGATTGTGACGATGATTCATCACCGCTTCTCGACACTTTACACGAAAGCCCATGCTCTGGCATTTGATACTGATACCTTCTACACAATAGGATCACGGCAAAATTCAGCCAAGAATTCATGCAATTGGGAAAGACTTTAATCAACCAACAGTCGAAGGCCGCAATCAGCCGTCTTGCAAATGGCAACGACGACCTACGACGAAAACCCTTTAGCGAGTTCGCCACGTTTATTGTGCGCCTGATGGACAAAGATGATGATTTCAGCGACATCACCTTCAAACCCTCTGAATTGTGGATCTTATCTGAAGACCATTACTACGGTGCCATCAAAGGTCGACTATCTGCACTGCACACGAATCCGACAGGGTCAAGCGGAGATGAACGCAATCACAAGGCGGCCAAACGCGTTCATAGTCGCTCACGAGCTCGGTTGGGCAAGTACAAGATCGAGAGTGGTACAGCCATTCTGTTCAATTCGGAACAACTAACTGCGCTGTTATACAGCGCAGTCCGCAAACAATCCAATTACACAGACCCATGATCATTATTGATTTAGTGGCATCGTTCATGAAACATGTGTGCCAATGTGGCAACAAATACTTTGCATAGAGTTGATTATGAGGTGAGCTTTGCTCACACTAGAACCGCCACACAGTTCCTAACATTGTTAGTAAAGTTAAGTAACAAGAAGTAAATTTTAAAGTAGGATTGTTTAAGCCGTAGAATTTGAAGTTGAGTGTATGAAGTGTGCTTATGACGGAGCTATTGAATTTGAACTTTTGAAAAAGTTGTGTTTGATAGATCTTGAAGCTGAATGTTTGAGAATGTGTTTATGATGTACAATAACTATTGCTAGAACGTGGAGTTGGACAATTTTTACTTCTTTGAATATTCTACCCTATGTTAGATTCAAATGAATTTAGTTAAGATCTGACATGAGTTGCATGATTTTGCATGTGAAGATATAAAGTTGTACATTATCATGATAGTTAATCGTTTATGCTTTTCTAAATTCTAAAGTACTTGACAATAGAAATATGTCAAGTACTTTGAACACATGTCGTCCTGTTATATTCCCGATACGAAGTTGGATGATCGTAAAATATATTTTCCAGTCTACATTAACTGTTAAGTATAATATTACTAACTTTACAAACTATACGTATTATGTAAATTTTCAACTTGTTGGTTCTGTAAATGACCCAACACAATATATATTTACAGTGAGTTTTTGTTTTAAATACAGAAGTGTCTGGAGCAGCCCTGGAATGGATACCCACCCATTCCCATGGCACAATTGGTGGGTAATCGGTATGGGCTTGGAGGCATGGGTGGGTACTACCCTTTCATTCACCTGATTGCTCCTATTGCTCTCAAAGTGTTGAATAAACCTCAAAAGTATTCCCATCCTTCTGGAAGAAGTCCCATCATTTTTGTACCTCCACCCATATTGCTCAAGTTTGTTTTCACATTGTTCATTATTGTCATCTGCACGAAGAGAGTGAGAGCTAACATGAAAAAGACACCGATGAATATTGCTTCATTTTTGCCCACATAGCTTTATAGTGATTAATAGTGCATCGCCATTTCGGATACTTGGAGTAAAAATGAGTAAAACCATGGGATACATTACACATCAAGATTACAAGATGTGATATGAAATCTTGTCTCATAAATTAGGGTATTCGTTGCAAAGTAGAGGCTAAAGCTCTGTTTACTTTCTCCATCAACTTCATAGAATGTTAAGTCATCTTGCATCCCAAGATAAAAAGTTGAAGAGCAAATGAGAGAAAACTGAAGATGACTGAGTTCTCATGCTGCTTAGGACCGCAGTACTCTACTCTACGTTACTTATTTGGTGGAAGGTGATTGAACTCAAATATGAATCGAATTATCAATCAATTTGTAACTGTTTACAATAAATCATTGGTACGTTACTCTTTTTTAAAATATTTGGCTCTTACTAATTCAAATTAAAAAGCTAATTCTATTGGCTCTATTAGCTTTTAAGTGAGATGAATTTCGTGCTAATTTTAGAGGTAGGGGCCATTCGTCCACGAATAAAATTTATTTGTGTGCCAATCGTCACAAGCAATCGTTTAAAAACACTCGTTTTTTACAAGCCATACTTCATCCGACCTTTAATCTCCAGAAACCTGGAACTTTCAAGACATGGCAAAATCTTTAGAAAGATGTTGATTCTTGCTTGGTATGAAAGCGAAGAGGTAACATCTCTCATAAAAACTTTAAATTGCAGCAGTAACGGTGCATATCATCGAACCAATCTATCAGCATTTTCTTCCAGGCTGCTGGTGCAATGGGTCCAACCTTCCTTATATGTCAGAAGTACTCAGACTACTGCATCTGTTACTCTACGATGGCGTTCTTTCCATGGGCATTTGGCAAGAGCCTGATCGACCCGTTCATCTCAAGCAGTGTCTTCGATCCTTTTGTCAATCTGCCCTCCTTCAGTCTGCTGGACAGGTCTTTCACTCCTCTCGACAAAGATGTGAGTGCAGTGGCGAACACTAGCGTGGACTGGGAGGAGACTCTCGAGGCACATGTCTTCAAAGCAGATCTTCCTGGTAATACACACCCTCGAGCTTCCAGCAATAGTTGAAACTAGCTTGTAATCGGCTTGCACAATGCATTTAATTGACTACTAAACAATTTTCTCAGAGACACATCGATCTGTGCACTACCTGCTATGTGAGTTTATACAGAGTGCTAGAGAAGAAGCTCAAAGTGTGCGGAGGAGGAACGAAAATTCAATCCTCACGGGCTAGCCTTGCTCTACAAAGTTATTTAATGAGTCGCCTCGTGGGTATTGTGGTATGTGTGAAGAAAGAGGAGATCAAGATTTAAATAGCAGATGACGGAACTTTAAGCATTAGTGGAGAGCGCAGCAATGAGAAAGTGGACGAGAAGGACTCGTACCGGCGAACAGAAGGAACATTCGGAAAATTCTTCCGACAATTTAAACTACCAACAAGTGCGAAGGCTCAAGAGATTTCCGCTAAGGTTGAGAACGGAGTTTTAATAGTGACTGTTCCAAAGACAGAGGAGTCGAGAAAAAAGTCCAAATTCGAAATGTGGAATTCTCAAGTTAGAGATGCATTGCATCAATGGACCATATAGCCTATTCAGATTCGAAATATCTTAAGACTCCTGGAAATCAAGAATCTTGCACACCATAAATTGTTGTCGAGTTTTTCCGGTGTATTATAAATTTCTGTAAATAAAGGTTTAAGGTTTTGTGACATCCATTAAATCCATGAACTGTGAATTCACTTCGTCAAGCATCTCAAGTCTAGGATTTAAAGCGGAAACGTCAAGCGAAGCAAGTCCAAAACGGAATCCTGTGCATTATGTACACATGTTAGACCAGAAGCTCACTGCACAACTAGGCAAAACTGAGGAGCACTTCGTATCCTCTGATGCACTCTCAAGGTATTTGAGACTGTATCTCGCCTGACTCCAAGCTCTCCCCAAATCTTAAACAACCGTGAATATAAGATGCGCACACATACAGGAACGGTATAATAATGAGACACAAGGGACAGAACGAATCATCATCACCAGACGTCAAGACTAACAATCCTTATTCCAGTCCACTCACTCAGAAGTTGGTCAACTGTTCTTGCCGTGGTTGCCTGCATAAAACACCGAAATGGATACGAGTTCAGAGACTTCCACTTCTAGTTCGTACAAGCAGCTCGAGAGCTCAAGCTTCTGTCAAAGAAATGAGTCATACTGGTTCTTACGTCTAATCCTACTCTTTACACTGTACACACTCCTACGATGGCCAGACTAGCGACAATTCGGCGTTTGATCAGAACCCTGCCACAAACTTAATATAAAAAATGAGTGACAGAATAATTCAAGGAGTAACATCCAAACACTCCCACTTGTTAATCATCACTGGCAGATTGTAGCGGCTCCTCACCAGCGCCGAGTTTTTTGCTGTACATGGCGAACTCAAACAGAAATGTCTTTTTGAACCAAGCGGGGAGAATCCCGTACACTGCTGGTGGCAAGGGTATGAGAGGGCTGGTTGTGTTCTTGTAGTGGAGGTACTCGGGATTGCTTCGGTGTTTTTTGTCGGCAGAAATCTCGAGCAGCGGAATGCCACTGACAAAGAGGAGAAGGCAGCTCAGCAAGATAGGGCCGGTAATTACTGCCCACTGGCCTCCGCTGAGCACAGGAGTCGCGGCCACGAAGATACCCCACCACAACAACATCTCACCGAAGTAATTGGGATGTCGAGACCAGCTCCAAAGACCAACATCACACCACCGACCTTTGTTCGAGATGGAGTTCTTAAAATTCAGCTTACTTTGGTCAGCTATGGCCTCAATCGCTAAACCTACTCCCCACATGGCCCATCCTACGTAATCTCGGACACCAAAGGCCGGATTCTTGCTGCTTCCATTCACTACTGTAACAGGGAGAGAGACGGTCCACACCCATACACCCTGAAGAAACCAAAACACTGCAAACCTCAACAGATTATTGCGCTTATCGTCGAACCGATGGTCCTCGCCCCAGCTCAAAATCCTGAAGAGCAGGAAAAATCCCAAGCGTATTCCCCAGAACAGCACAAATGTTGTCAACACCAACTGCCGATATTGGTACGTGCCGTTCAGAATCAGAGTTAGAACAGCCAGAACCACGAAGTTGGTCGTCCCTGCGAAATCGGTCACCTTGTCAATCTTGAAGCCCGCAGCGATGACGAAGAACGAGAACTGATATAAGGCAGTGACAATGGCCGTGACGCCCAAGTAACTGTTACTCGATGCTTCGGTCACCATGCTTCTGAACCTTCCGACCCGCCGTCTCGATCTCGTGGAACCAACAACAACGTGTGCTTCGTCTCCGCTCGAAGAAAAACCGACAAAATCTCTGTCTCCACGCCGACTGATATCAAAGCCTCGACGTCGTCGAGAGATACCTCCAGAGGCCAACCCGATGTGTCCAGGATCTCGGGTTGAGTTTCTAGGGGTGACTGCCACATGTACCTCTGGTGACCGGATTGGGCCAATAGTTAGTGTACAAGTGGAGGAGGGGGCTCCACGTCCCATTGGCGTGAGTCCGAATCGTGCACGAACGGGAAATTTGAGCGAGGTTGCCATCCGGATGTAGCCACAGTTCTCAGGATCCTGACGCTGTGCTCTGGAGCCCGTGTTTGGTGAAACTGCTCCTGATTGCTCAGACTTTTGGATCTTTGCACAAATCGTGGACTCACTCTATCATCCACGTGGGCATCTGAGAAACTATTCTTTCCACGGAAGCCTTCCGAATGCTGTAAACACAGAGGACTAGGGACAGCACTAGAGGAGCTTTGATTGTGATAATCTGCATCTGGCGGCGGAACGAGGACATGCGTTGCCTGTGTCAGGAAGATATGGAAATAGGAGATTGATACTTGCTTGACACGTAACTTGTTCTCTCGCACGCCCGGGAAGAGGCCCAGCGCAGCTGCTCGAGCCGAGGAGTTATCAAGTACGAGGTGCCTAGAAGCCAGAATCAATACTCTTGAATTTGGATAAAATTCGATTTGAAAAACAACAGAAATTTCCAATTTTCTGTTGTTCTCCAAATCGAACATCCCCCAAACGCCCGAGGATCGCTGGAGCCTCTTTGTCAGTGAGACCTAAGTTCTAAGAGACCTAAGTGTACTTATTAGCTAGCTGGTCTGTGACTCGAACATCTCCAGAAGATATCACCGTTCCTTGCTGCTGGCCTTTCAAGTTAGACATTATACTGTACCAGGTACTTTGATCTGGTGTGAATCCAAGCATATACGAACAGACATGTGCATATATTGAAAGATCGATCCGTCGGCAGTAAAGGTTTGCTGCGTACACCACCAGTATCATTTCTCGAAGGCCTGCAATGTTGTGTATCTTCTTCTTGCTCAAAAGAGGAGGATTTTGCTTCTTGACCGACTACGATAGTGCATCTCCAGCCGAAGGGGTCGACATTGCCGTCTAGAATACACAAACATGACGTGCAACAGGGATAAAACATCGCATGTTTTATTGATACTTCCACCAATTCGGTTGCTAGTCGAGCTTGTGAACCTATTTCACAAGTCTACTTGAGGTTAAACGAACCGTCATAGTGATGGAAACTGAATTCTCCTAGTTTATGTACAAAGTCTTATGAGAGCTGAGAACTTCAAATCTCAATCATATGGCAGCTCAAAACCACATCCTCTGCAGGTTCCAGAGCTGGGATTGACGAGGTTGCTAACATTCCCCGAGAACTATGACCCTTGTCCAGGTTGTAAGAGATGGTTTGCAGGCCCCTCCCTACAATGTAGAGAATGTTCTTCACAAAAACCAGTTTACAAGGGGGAGTTATGGATTTTGGTGATAAACGACCAACAGGAATCCACTCAAGGCTACCATGGTTTAGCATCATAATCTTCAACCCGAAAGTTTGATCTAACATGTACACATCGCCTTGGTCCGTCACGGCTGTGGGCCCACACCATAATCTTGTCATGTCATTATCTACAACAGCCCATTCATGTTTTGCAGGATCGAATGCAGAGGCATATGTGGGAGGAAAGAGGTTCGTACAGACATATCGTGTGTAGAGCTTACCATCTAGAACTAATGCTTCTCCCAAGTCGGTGACTATGTGTGCATCATAAAAAGTTGACCAGGTCTGAGACTTGGGATCGTAAATCTCGTAAGAGTTCTGGCTCTCTGAAGTAGTCCCCATGCCTCCGACTGCGAACAACTTCCCTTCAAAAACTGCAGAAGCGAAGTAGTGCCGAGCCATTTCCAACGAAGCTGCTTCTTTCCAGGCATTGGTGATGGGGTTGAACTTGAGGACCTCGCGAATCGGAGGTTTGTACCTCTGACCACCTCCAACAACAAAAAGCTCCCTATTTATGACCTCAGACGACAACCCGTACCGCTTCGTTGCATCACCTGGCATTTTTGGGAGTTCTTTCCATACCCGCTGAGTAGGATCCATCACATGCCAATGAAGATCCTCGGAACTATCTCTGAGAAGGGCATACACCCAGCCTTCTGACAAACCCATCTCCTTTCTCTTAGAGCAGAACATGGTACTGCATAGTGTTTCTTGCCACCGCCTGCAAACAGCGGCCAAAACCCAGTGGTAACGCCTGGGAACCCTGACCAGGCACTGAAATGCAAGATCGTCAGGTAAACCAGGAATGAGGCTCAAATCCTCCACTTCACAGTCCTCCGACTTACTCAGCTCTCGATCTGATCTTCTCATGATTCCAAACAAGTCATTTGAGGCTTCAGTCATCCTCCTGGAAAATATAGAGGCCAATGAAACGAGAAAACGTCAGTGAGAACCAATATTAGAGTGAATAAACCTGGAGTGATCCATTCATGTTAACTATTCAAAGAAATTAAATTGAACTGAGTAGGAAGAACGTGGCAGCTGAAAGAAATGAAGATTAAAGCTCTACACAGTGTTCTGAAAATTTTGTTCCTAGCTGTCCAGCCGATTGATTATCAAAGAAATCGAGCTGAAGCAATGAGCATAGAGTACAGAAGACAACTTTGATCTCCACGGACATCAGATTTCTCTAGAAGACAGTTTTTGATATACCGAAATCGTCAAGGCTTACAGCAATCACTTTGCAGACAGACTGCACTTTCTGTACCAGCATGGGCAAGGAAACAGCTAGTTCATGACAAAGAAAACAAAGGCAGCACTGATGCGAGCTAGTTTCTGTACCATACTCATGGAGGCGAACAAGAATTTAGAAATAACAGCTCAACGAGGCACATGCAAGCAGCTACTGGGCAATGAGGTGGAATTACGTATTGTTGTATTGAGAGTCGGTGAGAAGAGCTCAAGACTGCGCTTGTTGCCTGCGTTGAATCTCAGGTATTGAACTGACTACAATGATCATGCACGCCAATCCTCAATGTTTGAATTTCGACCATATGAATACGGGGTACAATTTCCGTGATCCAACTGGCACACATGTGTTTCGAAGGTTTGGAGGAAACCACCACTTCTCAAATTCGCACCAGAAGCCCGTAGATAATGTTGCAAAGGCACCCGAAACGAGCAAACTGCAGACTTGGTAGGGCAACGTGCAACTGTCTTCATCAAATTGGGCACACCGTCCGAACAAGTGACTCGGTCAGCATCGAAGGACCACCCCCAAGAGGGTGTCCATCCCTAAGCCCCTCATCAACCCCAAGTGAGCTCGACGGGGTGCGACGGCTGCTCCAACCGGATCGAACCCTTTGGCAAAGCCTCGACGCAGGATACACCACTTCAAGCGATAATTCGTAAGCGGAATACTACGAAAAAATGGATCTATCGCCTCCAATTTTGAGTTAAGACACGCAAAACTGAACTTCGAAACACAGTAAGGAGCCGCAATCCAACACTGCTGACTAGTGATGCGGCAAACAACGCGGCCTCCTCGACGGGCATCGCAGACACAGAGCAGACCAATTACGACCAACTGAGAAACGCTGCGATTGCATAATCCAGATTAAGCAACTCCAACCCCCAGAAAAAATTCTTCAAAAAACAAACAGAAAAAAAAAGACAGGGAAAAAAAAGCTTCAAAGAGAAGGAAACCAATCAAAACAAGAACGAGACACTCGACGACATGCAAAATACGAAAAGAAAAGAGCAGGAGCAGAAGAAAATCCCTCGACGACGACAGGCTGCATCGAACACAAACAGAGGAAGGCGAGAAACAGGAGCTCCCAATCCGAGAACGGGAAATCAGACTGCAATCATTTCATCCACCGAGGCCAATCGGATTCTGCTTCCCGTGAAGGCGAAGAATCAAGCGGGACGGACGGAACGAAGAATGGCAGAGATCAGAGAGCGATGACAGTTGGAAGATAGAGAGAGCGAAGAGGACGAGGGGAGCCCACGGGAGGAGGAGCCCACGGGAGCCCACGGGAGCCAACGGGGGCCAACGGGCGAAGGTGCGCGGGGCCGCGGGCCAAGTCCTCCGCCCCGGTCCCCGCACGGCGCAGCAGCCCCGACCAACAGAGGTTTGTCAGCCTTAGCTATGTCCTCATTACCTTCGGTCCAATTTATCGGCGGCTGCTAAACACGATCGATTATTTCTTAGAAAGTGTATGAGCACTAAATTATTAAACTATTCGACACGATCGATTAGTTCCTACGTGTCTTCTTGACGTAGGGAATAGATGTCCATAGGGTTTCTTCCATGCCGGCTTGACCGTGTACTTATTATGTCCCGTTGTCCAAATGTGAAAGGAACCGCTTCTTTGGCGATCCTTTAAACCGTGGCCCATTCGAGTGGCTCTTTTCTCTACAAGTCCTCCGGCGGGACATGTTCCAGCGCGGAACCTTTCTGATTTGTTCTTCGCAAGGAACAAGATGGCGCTCGAGGGGAATCTGTTCTTTGGGTTGCTTTAGTTTAGGCTTTATCCTTAATTAACCTCTTTTTCCACAGTAATGTGACTTTACGTGCGGTTGATAATTACTCCTATATACTACTTTATCTCCTATAATCAGGAAGTTCCACTCTTTCAGAGAAGTGATTGATTATTGTTCTTTCGAGTCTCTTCCGGGGCACTTCCGGTGTGATGTCAACTGATATCGATCTTGAAAAATCATTACTTGATAGTGATGTATGTGCCTGGAGGTCAATTCTCCTTCGAGTGTCATAATAAAATGATAAAGCTTTGTCGATGTAGAACTGATGAAAGAACTTACTTACTTCACTCTTGGGCTTAAGCTCGAAATAAATGTTTACTATACTTATGAACGTCTCTTCCTGTCTTAAAAATCATCAAACAACGCTTCATCGCTTCGGAATCAACTTTATTTCTTTCACACGAATAAATTTTAAATTTTGACCTCTTCTCTCGATAGCTCGGAACTCAACTTAGTGGACGGAAAAGGACGGAAATTAAACGAACTTCTTCATGCCTCTACTGCACAAGCTTAACTTAAATTTACCAGTCCCAGTTGATAATTTTGGCTCTTATCGCCCATCATTAGACGCATAACGTTAATGAGATCGGAAGAGAAAAGCAAAAGTTCTTTCCGATAGAATGAAGCATGATCCACATATCTGAGCGCAAGCTTGGTATTGGAGGACAGCTGGGCACTCCCGTAAATACCATGGGCGATGATCAAAAGTAGTAAGTTTAAACCTTGATGAGTTCAAGTGGTTATCGCATTTTACAAATAAAACCCTCGACGAAAAGAAAGGAGAAAATGCAAGCAAGTCAGAAAAATGATTAATTTTCGAAATCCATGTCCAACTTAATGATAACTTGCTCGAGAGGAAGTGTCATGATTAAACGAAAACCTCCTCCTGGCTCGAGCAAAACAAAGTCAAAGGGTGACAAAGAGAACATCCTTGGCAAGATTTGTACAACTGAACCTTCCATTAATCACACAATCAATTCAAGAATTTCCAAGGGTAAATCGAAAACGAAGAAGAAGATGATGATGAAGAAGACGCTTCTTTGATAGATGAGGTGAATGTCAAGGGAGATGAAAATGGAACTCTTGACGAGAAGTAGAGAGAGGATATTCTTCGATGAATGCTCGCTAGCTGAATTCGTGGATCGAGCGATTTCGGATCACAGCAAAAGCTTCCTCGCCGTAGATGAAGACGAAGCCTGGAGCATTTTTCTGGTTGGGTTGAACTGAATTAAATCAAATTCGGTTGAGGCATGCTTGCCAACAAAACAAAACAAAACAAAACAAAGCGAAAAGGATCTCCATGATTGCCAGTGCTTCAGTACAATAGAAAGAGCGCTCAATTGGAAGGCAGCCCAGCCTTCGCCTTCACCCTCGCCCTCGCCCTCGTCCTTCCCTCCCTCTCTCTCTCTCTCTGCCTCCCGGCAATCACTTTTTCACCTTCACCTTTTCCGGCGCCCTCCTCTCCCTTCCCTTCCCTTCCCTTCCCTTCCCTTGGCTTTGATTTGATGTGCTGCTCGCTTGGCTTGCAAAGAGCACCTGGCACCTGCTCCGGTGAGTCTGCCTTTGCGCCCCTCCCTCCCTCCCTTCTCCTCCTCCTCCTCCTCCTCCTTTTTTCAGCTCTCGATGGACTGGAATACAAGGTCCCTCGCCAGATGGAGCGGTGGCTGCTGCTGCTGCTAGTAGATTCGAGATTCGGACCCCAGTGCTCAAGAAACTGAGAATCTGCGCTTCTTCTCGCACCTCCTCCTCTTCCTCCTCCTCCTGGTGCTGCTGCTGCTTCTTAAGCTTCGTCTTCGATTGCTCCTCGTGCTGCTTCTTGTGTCTGATTTCTGCAGCTGCTGCTGCAGCAGCTAGAGCTTCTTCTTCGGTTTGCGTGTCGCAGATCCACCGGCATTTGGAGTTCCCAGCATGCTTGGCATCGAGTGAGAAACTACTACTCCCTTCTTCATGTGCACTTCAATCGGACTGCCCCACCTGCACCAGCCGCACTGCACTATCTCCGCTCTGGACGGGGCTATTCGATTGGGCGTCGAGCATTTCCTATTCGCGGACCGTATTCATTTGTCGTCGATGCCGCATTGACTTGCCTGCCTCGAGCATTGTGGTGTAGAGGCTAGTCGTCCTTGCTGTGAAATTCGGATCAGGTGGGTGGTGGGTTTAGACCAGAGGAAGAGGGACGTACTTCTCAATTTGGGCTCCGTCGAATCGGGTTTTTGGTTCTGGAGATCGCTGCTGTGATGTTGGTCCTCGATTTGGTAGCCCGATGAGGCTTCGGGGCTTTCGGCTCCGTCTGCTTTGAAATTCGAGTCCGCCGGAGCTTTCGGGAAAGGTCAGCGCGGAGCTAAGCAGTTGATTGCGAGTATACGATAAACGTTTTGGACTCGAGGAGGTTTATTTTTGGAGGGGTTCCGGCGGAGCAGCAATGTGAGCAGGGAGGGCATTGTAGGAGAAGTGGTGCGCATCTCGTCAGCGGCACGGAGGATTGATGAGAAAGCAGGGAGGCGGACGAGGAGCCCTGCGCAGCTGATTCTGGGCGTTCGAAGGCAACCCTCCGGCCCAAACCTAGATTGGCTCCGGAACGCTCACACTTATGAAAGGTCTCGGGCATTTGCCATCTGACCTCGTCGTTGAAGAGTATTTGTGTTAGAAGACACTGGCCCTGCTGAGAAAGGTTCATCAGGTGTTTCAACCCATCAAGGTTGTAACACCTGCCATTCGTTTCCCATTTGACAGTTCCGGGAAAATTGCTGCTCCCAGGAGCAACATATTTTCACAGGTCGTGATCCGTATCATTTAGCGTTGCCAGGTAAAACGCCGTGCGTTTTCCCACTCTCAAGAAATTCTATCCCCTCGTTTCATCCTTTTTCTTGTTTTTATACATCTTCTGAATTAGGACCACTTAACATGCACAACCTCGTGACAGGTCTGCCCTTAAATTGCGCATTGAGACTGTAATGTAGATAGTAAGCCAAGCTTTATGTTGAATTTGTAGAGCTCTGGAGCTCGTTGAGGCTTGGAGCAATAAAGACCGAGGGTATGATCGGGAAGCTGGATGGGGGGCGCGATGGTGTTGCTCCCACGGGCCAGGTCCGGGTTCTTGTATTAGGGGATGCGGGTATGGTATACACTTGTTTCATTTCTTCTTGGGCGCACAGCTATTTGGAATGCTTTGGAGCAGATTAATGGCAGTATTCTCTGTTTTGAAATTTCTGAAGGAGGAGTTGCTTTATCTAAGAATAATCCAAACAGCGGTTGTCAAGCTGAATCGTTCATGGGGAAATCTTCGCACAGGGTGTAGGCAGTCATGTTCAATGGACCCGCACTTCATTCTTCAGTTTAGTGGGAAGGGTGTCACACGATTTCCTACTCTTAAGTGATACTCAGAGTACTGTTTTGAGAACACATTCGGAGTGTCAAGCAGCATCTTCCAAATGTAATCTACATGAATTTGTTCATGTAGTGCACCCAACAGATGTCCTTATGTATATTTGTAAGAACTTGGTGTTGTCTCTATCTTGTGCAGGTGTGGGCAAAACATCGCTTATTCATCTGATTGTAAATGAGAGTCCTATCACTAATCCTCGAAGAACTATAGGGTGCGCAGTTGATGTGAAGGTATGTCGAGCAGGTCAACTACAATGGAAAAGCGTTTATTGGTCTTAGATGTTTACTTTGAAAGCACGTAAATCAGTTTCAGACCAATCAGTCTTGATTTGAAGCTACAAGCTGTACAGTTTTTAGTGTTTTTTAAAAGTTTGACGCCATGAAGGCATCGGCATTTAGAATAGACAGTATTTTTGTTGTGGGTATCAACCCGTTCTAAAAAGAAATCAAATCAACTGTACGCGTCTACATTACGTTATTGACGTAAAAAGTTTGAACGTATGCTGATTAGTGCCTTGTTCCTCCCTTCTCCTCCAGCATCTAGTTTATAAGGAGCCGATCACAAGTCCATTCAACAGCAGGCAAAAAGACCGAGAGTTTTTTGTAGAGCTGTGGGATGTATCAGGCCACGAGCAATACAGACAGTGTCGATCATTGTTCTACTCTCAGATAAATGGTAAATATTTTTGCAACTCAGATGAAAACGCGTTGTTCTTAGTTATGCTCTCCTCGGTATGACATTTGCACGTTTCTTCGAAGGCATCGGTGATGTAGGGCAAGTCTCTAGATGAAATCTCAAGGATGCTGTTTTACCTTGCAGGGGTTATCTTTGTCCATGATTTGTCTCAGCGCAACACCAAAGCGAGTTTGCAAGGTTGGGCGAATGAGGTTGCCTCGCTTGGAACCTTTTCGGCACCGCTTCCCCATGGCCAAAGTGGTACTTTACCAGTACCATCTTTGGTGATAGGGAACAAATCTGACATTGCTCCCAAAAATGGAGTTACAGGGAGCAGTAGTAATCTTGTCGATGCTGCCCGTCAATGGGTTGAAAAACAAGGTCTACTTACCCCGAGTGATGAACTCCCGACAACGCAAACTTTTCCAAGTGGTCGGAGCCTTCATGCTGTAAGCTGACTGCTCGCCAAACTCAAGTTATAATTTCAGTGAGATATTTTGTCTCAGCTTTTTCTTTGTGACAATTGCAAGGAGACTCCATTGTTACTGCTTCCTACTAAGATCAAATGACAGTTGATTCCTGTTATGTGAAGGCTGCAAAAGAAGGAAATTTGGACATGGAATCCGTAAGAAGATTTTTCCTTTCTGTGAGTCTTTAATCCTACCTTCTTGGTGAACTCTGTGTCTTAGTGGTAACAACTGTAACTGCTTGTTTTGAGTTGTTGTCACTTGGAGAAGACATCAAATATCAGGTAGCATTCGAAGGTGCTGATAGTACTTGGAATATGGCTGTGCACATGCCTGATCAAGAGATAAAGCTGAAGGTTTGTATGCTCGAAATGTTTACCTCGTGCAGCTAATCAGGCGGAGATACTACTCCGAAGATCTTCAGGCTAGCAGTCCCGTGCTACAATCATGGGATAGGCCCACCATAAGTAGATCTCCGGCTCCAGTTTCATATCACAGTAGAAACTCATCTCTTGGGGAAATTCAATATCCGCAACCCAGGTAAGTAGTGAGTTCGCCGGAAATTATTATAATTGTTTCTATGTCTTGATATTTTCCGCATCCTTTGTAGACCCGCACGATAAATTTGTCGAGGTTTTTGAATCAACCATCTTATTTTGGTATGCTGCAGTACTTACAACGGCAGCCCCTACAATGGTCCGTACAACGGCCCCGAGACTCCAAACAATGTTCCGTGGTCAAGGCAGCAAAGATTATCACCCCCACATACACCTTCACCTGAGCAGCCCTTTTCACAAGACGACTTCCTTCCCGTGAGAACAAGTTCTTCCGCTGCTGCATACTCTCGAAGTGGAAGCTCCAGCCACATAGACATTCATCTGTAAAGTTCATGTATGATTCTTTGGCACACAATCTATGCAATAATAAATATGCTCCGTTAGAAAGGACAGCCATACTCAAAAGAGCGGTAAATTTGGGAGACCAAAGTCAGCATAAATTTTCTTTGTTCGTTATCTTCTTGACTCACTCTTGACAGTAGCTTGATGATGATGATCAATGGTTTGGGACCTCTTAAAGGGCTTATCTTTTCTGCGTATATAAAATAGGGTCCACATGGACCTTTCAAGTCGAAGTTCATAGCGGACGGGGTAATTGCCTCAGATAATGTGTACATATGCAGCACCTTGGGTTCGGCGGGAACGTATTGGACCTGAATTAGGAAGGTGAAGATGATTTAGTTGCCAGTCGTTTGGCTATCAACTATCGTTTACAGGACATTGTTAAGATTGAGTTGAATGAAATTCAGTCGGACCGCAGTATTCACCTGTATTGGGTTTTTGCTCGTTTAAGATGTATCGGAAATGAAGAGATAGATGTGATGTGTTGTGACTCACTTCTGTGCTGGAAAGTTGGAAGTTTTGGGAAGCCGGAGGCCCTGTTGGTGATACATCTGGGGCCATATTGAAGATCAAGCTAATTTCCCACCTGGGGAAACGCTCATCGCAAGGCGAAAGCTGGTCATCTCACTTAATTCAAGAAGTCCATCAAGCTTGTTCTCGCGCACATTGCACATCCTACGTGCACAGTATCCTTCATTGCCCGGACTGCGTAGACAATTTGGTCGAAGGCTCTACTGGATAGTGTCCGAGACCGACCTTTGGTATCCATTGCTCTGGCTATGCGGTTTTCCCGCCAGTCTTGGGTTGCTGGGAATGTTAGGTCTGTCCTTGCCACTTTTGTTGAGACGACGGCGTTGGACAGTCCCCCACAATCTGATGCCGTCTCTTCGTCATTGACATTGAGGGAGAAGTCAGCAATGTCTTATCCCTGCACTTAGAATTCGACAATGGGGTAGGTTTAAAACATTTCTTTGCGCTAAGAACGATCGCATCGTGGCTGTTAACACTCCAAATTGCCCTCCAGACATTTGCCTTTGATGAAGGCTGTTGTATATTAGAGAGTGCTCTTGAGAGACTTGCCCTTCAATCATCGATTTTATTGAAGAACAGCCATGTTTCTGTGAATTTGTCGTTTGCACTCCCTGCCTCCTTCATCACTTTATGCAAAGGCGAGGCGCGAAGAAGAAACCGGGTGGTAGAGACCACCTGGCAAGGAAGTGGTGAAGTTGAACTTCTTTCAGTTGTCAGAAAAGCTGTAGACGTATCCACGATTCTTGTCTCGACACTGATAGTTCGAGCACTTAACTACCGAGTTGAATTCTCGAACAACTGTCGAACAACTGTCCGACTACTGTCTTCGGAGCACTGCTCGATCCGCATTCTAGCAATCCGTGGATTGCAGGCCTTAAAAGTGTAAACTGCAATCGAAAGATTGTAAACGTTGACGAGCTAATCTCCACCGAAGAAAATCGACACCGAAAGGACGATCTTCTTGATCATGGAAGGTCCACCAGAAATCAGACAAAAGAAAGTGAATGACCAACACATGAATGACATCGAGCCTCGAAACGCAACCAGGTGATCCCGAAACTGCAGCTAAAGAAATGGCAGAACCAACTCGCTCTACACTCACTCACCCACCACCGACAGACTCGAAGTGGGAGCTTCCAATTCTATTCCGCGTGCCCGATTCGGAGAACTGACATGACAAATCATACAATTTTCACGGTGCCGAGCAAGCATCGATCCGGTGCGAAACCAGTCTAGAAAAGTGCACATGCTTTGCATTCCAGAGTTTGGCACGGCGGGCCTGTCCTCCATCTTCTCGATGGATGCCCTCAGCCACGTGCTGTCGGAGTTGGAGGTGCTGCGTTCGAGAAAGAGTGAGAATGCAAGAGAGAGAGAGAGAGAGAGAGGCCGACGCAAGGCAAGTAGTGCGCGGGCGAGAGGGGAATCCGACCGACACGAGGAGCTTCGCATCCTCGATTGCACCGGGAACCACGATGAGAATCTGGCGCGGGCCGCAACCTCATCAGAAGAGAGAGGGAGAAGAGAGAGAGAGAAGAGCAAACGCCGGCCGTGCGACGGCCGGTTCGAGCACTCGATCGACGAACGAATCGGCTCATGATGGAAGGTCGAGGCGAGGCGCACCAGAGAGGACGGATGAGCTCATTCATGCGTTGCAGCAGAGGCCGGCGTCAGCGTCATCGTCAGCGAACCACTCCATGCCTCGTCCCGTACGAGAGGCCAGGCGTGCAGCTGCACTTCTCGGGCAATTTTATATGCTCGAAATAGTCAGCTCGGCTCTGCTCTGCTCGTCTGCTTGCTGGTGATCAGTATCAGGACGGTGTCCGGATCATCTCGAGTCAGGACTGATCTCATCTGCTCAATCGTGCTCCCTTCTCTTGCCATCTGCTTGATCCCCAAAAGCGATGCCTGACATCGTACTTCATATGATTGCCCCGAAGTAGGTTCAGCTGTAGCTACGGTATTTCTGTACTCTCAATTCGCTGCTGGTTTTCGCTTTGCGTCATAATCTCACTTACCGAAGAATTGTTTTTCTCTTTTTCCTCTGCGGACATCGAAATTCTTTGCATATTGTAAGCGCTCGACGCTCTGCCATCTTCGGCGAAACTGGAGCCATAGAAAGCATCAATCGGAGTCTGTGAAGTCAAAGTAGTTCTCTTCGTCAAGCATTTACTGAGGAGCTCTAGAGACCGACCGTCCGACCGGGTTGCAATCGTGCATTCAATCGTGCATACTATTTCAAACGCATAGTATCTGAGTATCTGACAACAACAATATCGGTCGGAAAGGTCTGAGAATTCTTGTCGCGAAGATCCATACTCTCTCTCTCTCTCTTGTCCAGCAGATTTGCATGACTTATCGGGAAATGAATTGCACAAGGCTTCCGATGACGACGCTGGACGAAATGTTTGGCTTCTGACTGCTGCTGACGTAGAAAATGAGCTCAAATGAAATGATTCTGCTGCATTCATGTACATGTGTGGACCCCGACATATGCAGAGAGACGGACAGACAGACAGTCATATAAAATAAGCAGTGATCAGGTGAAAGTACCAGAGGTCTTGTTCAAATTAGACTCCAAGCTCGTACACTTGAATGTGTAAGTACAGCAACAAAAGGCATGTGATTCACATGAAACTGAAGTTGTCCTGCCCTCGGAAGTCCGGAAGTCCCTACAACACTCAGGAGTTACATCCGATGCTGACGAGTGCGGGAGAATGCCGGTCTGCAACTCCAGATAAATCTTCAACTACCATTGTGGATTTAATGGCCGCATCATCGTGCGGTTTATCGTGGAGATTCTGATCCATCGATCGGTCACCACGCTACTCGACCAACTGAGTGAGTCGCAAGTGAATAGGCTCGATACTTAATTAGCCTCGCTTGCACTTCGCTCCAAGAGTGCAGCACCTCGTAATTGGCTCCCAGCACATAACTGCGCAGTATTCCGTGACACGCTAGAGAAGCCTAGACTTCATCTCGGGCTGTTGCAGCATCATGTGAAGAATTCCAGACTCTGGCAGGCTCCTTCCAGTGGTACTGTTGTAAAGTGCATCCAGCAGCAGCAGCAGCAGCAGCGGCCTCCTGTCAAAAAGTATATCTACCGAACGTAATCCTTCGCTCAGGGTCATAGATCCAGAATTGCATTTTTAGCTTATGGTTGTCAGATCTTGTACCTACGCAGAGACCCAGGTAGCCGGAGAGAGTAAGAGTTTCTTTCACCTTCTCGTCATGGCGTTAATTCACGGGCTTATGGGAAGCAGCATCATCGATCCGTTCGAGAGTCTGTCGCTCTTTGACCGGGCATGCCCATCGTTTCCCAGAGATTCCGTCGGCACCGTGGCAAACGATGGAATCGACTGGGTGGAGAGTCCACAGGCCCATGTGCTCAAAGCAGATCTGCCTGGTGAGCCTTGCGAATTTCCACCGACTTGGGCTAGCGTTTGAAGCTCGAACCAGAGCGATGTATTCCGAAGTTGTGGTGCATAGGTTCCTTGTTTGATGTCGTAGAAAAGTTTTGGAACTCTTTGTTTCTCTGGACCTGCTTACGAGCAAGCTCCCCACGCCTTGGACTCAATCTATGGTTTGAATCTGCTCTGCACATTCAAGCTATGACTAACTCTGACTGCTCTGAAGTTCATATGATCTTCTTAGGACAGGATGACATTCCTGTCAGGCTTTTACACGATGGCCTCGACGAAAATTGTCTTCTGCATATTGAGAGTTGTATGGCAACTATGAGTCTCTCAGATTGAGAATAGTTGGCAGTCCACTCTCGAGAACTATATAGCTAACTCTGTAATTGACTGCACATTGTATCTCCTCAGGGATGAAGAAGGAAGAGATTAAAGTTCAGATATCAGATAATGGGATCCTCACAATCAGCGGAGAGCGCGCCCTGAATGAGAAGGGCTCTCACCCACGAGTCGAGCGAGCTTACGGCACATTCCACAGGCAGCTCAAGTTGCCAAGTGATGCCAAGGTTCAAGAAGTGACTGCCCAAGTGGAGAATGGAGTTCTGACCGTGACTGTCCCAAAGACTGAGTTGTCTGATGAAACGCCCTGATGGCGCGACGTCGAGATATCCAGTTAGAGATCACTGGAGCTCAAAATGCAAAGACTTGTATGGCAAAGGAATTGTAATGTTTTCTCCTCTATATTGTCAGAGTTGTAGAGATTTCAGAATGACAGAGAGCGATGCGGACGTAAAGTTGCATGAGTGAGATCTGGAGAGCAGGATACTCATCCCCATTCGAGGAAGAGTGATCTCAGTGAGCTCCATCATCGGAGCTCTCAACTAGACGACAAAGGACAAACAGAGGAGGAACTTACAGCAGTGAAAAGTGAAACCAGGCTTTCATGATTTGTATCAGCCCTTCTTCACTTTTCTCTAAACGGTTGTAATGTGTTGGACTTTCGAGCAAAGGAAATCTGTAACTTCCGTGCTGAAAATCGTTGACCTCCTGCCAAATGACGAGATGTGGCGTTCGATGCCTGAAATATTGCAATAGTCAGGACATGTTTACAGACGACTGGCTACAAACCAACGTCCTGGTGAATCTGTGTTCTGTTGCACCCACACGTCATGTCAAATGCATCGATCAGAACGTAGCACAATGCTGACGGCTGAGAGGAATCTCGAGGCCAAAATGGTTGATGCCTGCAAATCCCCCACAAGTTAGCAAAGCATGCGACTTCCTCATTTGTTTATAATGTCGCACAATCTTGTCGAACCTTCGACCCCATGACATGAAGCAGGCGACGTCAAGGAGAGAGCACTCCTTTCATGGATATCCGTCATTCGCTCAAGTTTAGCAGAGCAGAGGGTTGTGGTTATTGATAAGATTAAGGAATCTAATCTTTCTTTGAGAGGAAGAAGATTGTTGGACTCTGAGCCTGCAGTTATATTGCAATCATGTTTCAAATATGGACAAAAGGCCATGGCAGTGCAGTTCCCTTTTACCGTTTTAAGAAATTCGTATTGCTTTTGGTGCTCCAGCTTGGACGGAATGTCTTCCACCTTATTCTCAGTCACTGGAGACCAATTCCGTGTGGTACAATCACTGCAAGATAAATAATCTCATAAGATTTGTGCCAAAGTTCTCATAAGCGTCAGATTCTGACAACAAAGCTGAATCAAAATCTCTTATCTTATCTGGACAACAGACAAGGCTTCGTATATGACACAAGTGCCATCTACTACCCGTCTCCATGTGCTCAAAAGCTACACCCTCATCACATGTTCAGTTAGTGTACCAAGGTGGTGTACACCTCGCATACATTCAACGGTGGTGTTGGCTGACGTTATCACTCTGTCTTAAAGTTCCAAATTTTGGCGAAGCTAAATGTGTCTAACGTGTCCCACGTTTGTGCAAACACCATATTTTGGTCAAACTAAGATTACCATTTTCTTTTGATATTTTTTATTAAAAGCAGAGATGCCATACGAAGGTATGGGTGAGACCAATATAGTTTTGCGTACTGTCAACAATAGCACGTATAATATTCGCAATTTTCCCTTCCGGTCTTTGCATCCACAATTGTGGCCTCAACCTACCTTTAGTGTCACTGCATGATCATTAGGATGGGCACTTCAGGAAAAGATGTGAAAGACGATGAGTCCTGGTGATCAAGCAAACCGTATTTATATGGAGCTTGAACACAGCCACATTCTATTGATTTTTCAAGGTTGAATGTCGAGCTCACATACTTGAACTTCTACTGATAACAGTGCCTTAAATTGGAAGCCATGTCCTTCGGGAACCCAAGGTACCTCGGGTCAGCTGGAGGCACTCATTCTTTTCCACCTCTGTGAGTTTTTATAGAAAAAAGACCACTTCGGCATCGAAAAGACAGGGTTAATCATAAGAGAGCAATGACTTCCCACTTAAAGTGTCATTATTTTTTGTTGGTCTTCGAAATCTTAGCGGTGAAGCTCATGGAATCAAGTCCATTAACGGTGTATTTTAGTCCAGGGTCAAGTTCTTCCCAGTTCGTGCGAACGGACTTTAGCAGGACGATTTGACCCTCGATATGAGGGTCAAACTCATCATGCTGAAGTAAAGTGAAGAAAGGAAAGTCAGACACATAAAATTGTAATGTGACAGCAGCGAGAGGATTGCCAAACGGCCTTGGTTTGTATTGTAGGACAGTCGGTCCCTTATGCAAGCACATCAGACCCAAGTCCTCCAAAAGAATTGTGTTGTTGTTTTATTTTCACATTTCTGGTTGCAGATGCCTTCTTCAGTGTTCAGTTACTGCTACTCTACTTCAAGGGTGAAAACCATCACTTCGACCCCTGGAATCTGATATGTAATAACCTGTGCTTCTGAACGATAATATCAAAGCTTTCGAAGAAATTATTGCTCAATTAGGAAGACCAACAGCAAGATCGATTCTTCGAGGTCTATGTGTAGCACAGAGGCAGCATTCGATACTGATCGCATAGCCGAAATGAACGAAAGTCGATGGATGGAAAAAACAGATACGCATCATGGATCATGCACCTTGGGCTTGAAATCTTTGAAATTTGACGCTGCATCGATGAACATGGATGGCACATTTAGAATCCGAATCTGACATTTTCAAGACGAACAAACAAACGAACGTAAGCCCAGAAGAGTAGGAGAGGCTGAAGCCAGCAGGTGTGGCGAAGGTCTTTACTGATCTGAGCGTGAAATCTCGCTACTGCACATCAGATGCCATCCTGATTATGACGTGTGGAGCCTAATCAAGTTGCGTCAAGTCTACGTGACTATCTTCTACCTCTCTGTACAGAAGTCGCAACCTTGCCACCTTGCCAGCGTTCCAAAGTTCCAAATATCTTCCCTCATTTTGCTTTCGAGGCAATGGATGCCCTTGTAGTTGGGCTCATGTCTGCTGAATCTGGAATACGGGTCCAGGTTCTTCATAGAGAGACTCCAAATTCCTGATCTGCCGAATTGTTCCAGAAGAACGACAAGGAGAAGAAACAAGGCCTGTGCGATTATGAGCTGAGATGCTTGTCTCACAACCAACGACCTGCCACGAACCCGGTGATGGCAACCATCAAGGTCGTAGCCACGGTTCCCGGCAACGAGCCTGATGCTGATGACACTCCCGTGGGGGCAGGTGCTGGGGCTTCTGCTGCCAGAACTACTCCAACGGTGGAGACTGCCACAGCTGCGATAAGGACCTTGGCGACAGCTGATCTCATCATGATGGAAGCCATTCTCTGTGTGTGTGTGTGTGTATGTTAGAGAGAGAGAGATAGAGAGCGAGCTACGCTTTCGGTCAAGTAGAGGTCTCTGTCAGAACTCAGGAGCCAGAAAAAGATTTGAGAATGGGGATTGCAAGAGATGATGGAATCACTGAACCACCACAATGTATTAATACGGATCACTAAACTGCGAAAGCTTTGTCCACCGATGCAGAATCTCATTTTCCAGATCGATCTGTAATTCAATCCGTCAGTCTCTTCTGGCATGTGATAGTGGCCGCAGCAGTCGACCAAAATCAACGCCTTTTGTTTCGGGGATGGGAAACGGACTGACGGAGGTGCACCAGGTGGCGGCTCCCATTCTCTAACCTTCCCATGGAAGAGGTCCTTTCAGTAGATGATGATTTCGAGACATGGACAGGACCAGTGCAACCAATCAGAAGTAGAAAAATAGTACAAAAGTATTTTATATTGCCCAAGAATCATCGAATTGGACATGCGCATCGTCGTGGCCCAGATCATGGGATCCAATACTACACAATTCTGGCTGTTCATTTGATCCACAAGTTCTTACGCAGAGGAATCCCCCCTGACGAGTCTTGCTTAAGAATATGCAGAAACAATGCAAAATCACCATAAGATCTTCTACACATCTGATGGTGATTTGAGGGATTCCCACCGGCTAGAAAATTACGAAACAAGGAGATAGTTCTTTGTGTAAGACTGAGGAATCACGTCCTGCAAAAGCTCAGAAGATCAATAATGGAGATTATATCTGGACGTAGTCCAGTTTCGTCCGTTTGGGCTCAGATGATCTGTAATGTCCAAGGCCCACCACGATCGAACCACAACCTAAAGCACAGAGGTTCCTGCTTGCTGCATAAGTAATGAATCACAATCAGCCGAGTATCCTATGTACTCTTCACTTTGGGGGTCTTTGGTAAGAACCAATGCTTCGTTCATAGGCTTTAAGAGAAAATTATGCTAAATGCTGAATTGTAAAGTATACATGTAGCAGGGGTAAGATAAGCACATGTTAACTACGTAATTTGAAAGAGACGTTTTCAGTCATGTGAAAATGTAAAAGCTTCGATTGTCTCCGTGCTCCATATAGAAAGATTTGAGTTTGATCATCAGGGCTCATGGTCTTTCACATTTGCCCTTCGCATCCACTTTCGACCTTGCATTTCTCTGCCATCCTTGGGAGTCATAACAGTGAACAAATAAACGACTCTACTTCGTCGAGACGCTGAGTAATTCATCACCATGGGTAAAGTTTCACTTCGTACGTATAACTCTCATTTCACAGGCATCTCAGGAGGCTTCAACCAGATATCGGATTACCCCGATTCGCCCCCGCTCTTCAAGGATATGATCGCAATGAGTCGAGAATCTCATGTCGCATATGCTTATACTATTCTCTATGTACTTGCTTCGAGACATTCCAGCAAATCAGAATCTTGGATGGCCTTCTGGTAGATTCCATATAATAAGATTTGACCTGGATGGCAGAACGGGCTTTAGGATTGGAACAGGATTTCGAGGAGAATTAGAAATACGGGAATGAGGCAAAGGGATCGGTACTTAGCCTTAGACGTGGAAATATCCACATTATGAAGCATGATTATAATAGAAGTAGTCTGAACAAGTGAAAATGATATTTGATTTGTATATTCTGTAATTACGATTCAAATCAGCGGAAGACCTTCGCCACACCCGTCATGGAACAATACTCGATGTAGGTTTTGACATTCTGAGTGTACTCACCTTCCATTTGCCTTTGTGAACAGATGTACTGAAGGTGATGCGGGTACACATTTCTCGAATTCCGAAGGAAAAACTCGATCTTGGAAAAGAATCACAAATTTCAACTCCACATAAAGACCAAGCGATTTGCCATCTGTCATCACATTGATTCTAGTAACAAGTTCGTCTCCGAGTCTCTGCAGCATCCAGATCTCAGTGAGAGTCTGTCCACACTTGTGACAAGCAGGTGGACATGTTCATCGTCGAGTAAAAGCAGGTCCGGTAAGATCGTCATCGTCATTTGTTTCTTCACGAAGTCCTTGCACGTTACAGGCATGTCTTGTAGATGCTCTGGTCAGTCTATACATACGACGGTTTGACCTTGCTGTATACCAGCAAATCATGCACGTAGTCTATAGTGTACATGATGATGTTATACGTCGAGATACTAGGACTTCAAGCAGGTACATTCCAAATCTCTTGCCTTGTTCAAATGAACTTTACATTGTCACGTGATGTTGTATTGTATGCAAGTGTTATATTTCTGAAATTCTTACAATATTGTTCTTCATGTGAATGTTCAGCGCATGCATATATCTGGACTACGCAGCAAGTATAAGATGCTTGGTAATTACAGTAAGTGATGTACAGTACAGTCGGCCGTTGTAACATTACTCTTTATTAGTATAGATGCTTACATCCTCTCATAACCATTAATCAGACACACATGAGCATGTCATCTGATGACTTGGGGCAGACTTTCACTAAAGTCTGTCTAGGTTCCCTTTAGCGCCTCAACTAACTGCTCATGGTGCTGATTAGATTTGAGCCACTAGGTCTTGGATCCGGTCCTTGGTCCCTTAGATCCTCCTCCTATGTTCCCTGGGTATGCGTAGAATCGAAGATTTGGTGACTGATTCTTAAAGCCAGATTTAAAGCTTAAGATCCTGCCATGGATCTTACATACAACATCTATTCACTCACGGGTGCAAGAGGGCCCTAAGTATCCGAGATCCAAGTTTGGGTCCAAATAGCCCAAACACGAACAAAGTTCCAAGGTTAGCCTTGTCAAACCTTACGTGCAATAGGTCTCAATGGAAACTTGGCTTCCTCGTGGGAACCAGTCACCTCATGTTTTATTCTGGGTAAGCTTGACCCCATCCTCTCGTCTTCAGTCCATGGAAACTAAAGCCCAACCCAAGCCACTGAAATGGTCATAACGTCCAAGCCTTCAGATAATTTGTTCCAATCTTGGTGACGGTGGAGGCATCTTTTGAAGACCAATCCAATGCTACTGTAAATATATTGGACGTAGCTGGAGCTCGACCGAGGCCCTTTCAAGAGATTGCATCCAGACCCAATACTTTGCTTCATTTGTCCGAGAGGTGTCTGAGCCTTGAAGTTTTTGAAATCACTTTCCTCGTGTTTCAAACCAACAAATCTACTCGACCGAGAAGCTCATATGTATAAAGTTCCAAGCCATCAAACATTTCCTTTGCTTCTTTTCCAGGCCATTTAGTAATTTGGATTAGGAGGTCAGATGTCGCCGGAGCTGTAACAGTATACTGAGTGACTCTGAGACATTAGGAGCATGAACTCGCCCCAGCACCAGCGCCCATGGGAGCATCAGCGGCATCATGCTGTTTGCCATCATCGACGGTGACCACGATGATGCTTGTGATTGCCTCGTCCGTGGCAGCTGGATAGCTGTGATTGAAGTGAGTACATAATCTGCTCGTTGTACCTGACAATCCAGTGGAAGAAACTTGGGATCAAATTACAGTTGCTTTGAGACGATTTTCTGGTTCGATCAGAAAATCAGATGCAGTACGTATCACCCAGTAGTTGAACTTAGAGGTCAGCGCGGTGGACATAACCAGCATGCATAAAACAGAAACAGTGTTAACCAGTGAGGTTGACAATTGGTGTCCATTAGCTGAAACACCTTTGTCACAGCCGTTTTTTTTTTCATCTGAAGAAAAAACATCTGATCTGATTAATCCGTCCAAACCAGGACATGCCTGACGGTGCCTCATCTTCTCTACAATTATACAAAACATGATGTGTGTACTCATCTCTCTAATCTGAAAACACATAAACTGTCCATTTGGAATCTGAAAATTCAAGCTTCAACAAGTCACTCTTCCCACCAGTTTTCATGTACAAGGACGTTTGAGAATTGTTAGGGAACTGCGAGTTCAAAAGCCTCATGGAACGTGTGAAATATGTGTCTTGACTGACCCTTGCACCTTGCATTACAGAGAATTATATCCTGGACTTAGAGGCTAAAGTGAACTAGAGAATATGACTGCAACGTAGTATTTGAATTCTACTAACTGACTGTGAGTGAGTTTACCATCTGCCCCCGTGTGTATGTTCAACTAGATCCATTAGATGTTGCAGATGGTTCTATAATATTTGAACAGAAGATGCAAGTGCAAACAGTTTTACCATTATCACATGCAGCCTCGACTACGCCCAGCTGCATATCTACGTCCGCTATAAAGACATATATACGTAACTCCTTCATGGCTTCTAGTCATAGAATAAAGGAATCGACCAATATATCAAAGTAAGTATTATATTCTCAATACAATTTTGAGGACATTCATACTTACAATGCGGAGAATATAATACTAACATCAAATTCTAGTACCTTTGCCATTGGATTCACTTCTTTCGTCAAATGTAGAGAGTAAGTGTGAAGCATGTTTCGCTATATGAAACAAGTTCTAATGATCACAAAACCTCTGCGATCAATAAGTGCAATCAAGTGATCGGGATATTAGTGGATGTTGTATTGGTCTTTCTCCTGCCAGCAGTAACTTAAGGAGGTGTAAGAGAATGCGTGCCTCCAGCTGACAGGAGGTACGTCGCCTTCCCGCAAGACATGGCTTCGAATGTGGTGCACTGCTGGTGGCATATGCTAGTATGGAAGTTGGTGGATGATCACCGATCGAACTAGGAAGAAAAGATTCGAGTTGTATCTCAAAATAGATATCGTTGGTTGTTCTCGTGGTCCATATAAATACAGTTTGGTCCATCACCAGGACTCATCGTCTTCCACATCTTCAATTGAGTTTCCCATCCTCCTGCAGCTTGACGTGTCGTCATCCTTCAGACTTGCATCAGTCGAGAACATCAGCAAGTCTACTCGATCAAGAAGCTGATCACTAGCTCAAGTTTGTTTGACAGTTTTATTCTGTGAATCACTGCGCTCTGCTTTGTTCTTCAGGCCGCTAAAATGGCCTCCACCAGGAGATCAGCTGTTGCCAAGGTTTTGATGGCAGCGATGGCTGTCTCCAGCGTTGGAGTGGCTCTGGCGCATGAGGGTCACGCCCCAGCACCAGCACCTTTGGGAACGTCGGCAGCATCAGGTCTGTTACCAGGAACGATGGTGACCAGCTTGATGGTTGCCATCACGGGATTCGTGGCAGCTTGATGGTTGTGACTGTGTTGAGTGGGAAATCTGAGCTCGCGATTTATATTTCATCATCTGGTTCGTTGCTTCAGGGCTTATGTGCACAACAGGGGTTTGTAGTCTTTCAATGGATTTCGCGGACCTGACTAGAATGATGTCTGAAGATAGACCGTCAGACTGAGCAGAATTGACATTAATAGGAGGACAACGTCGAACAAAGAAGAGAAAAGTTAGGAAGAGTTGGCATTGTGGCAAACGATGAGTACTTAAATTTAGAGGATAGTGATGTGGAAACTACGCAGTATGATTAGACTGAATATAGTATCAAGGAGTAACGATTATATTTGATGTGTAATTTAATCCAACCTAGTCAGGAACTTTGCTGGGTTGCTTACATTGGAACACATATGTGATTTGGGATTTGATTGATCAATAAATGCTCTTGAGAGGTTTCGACAACACAAATATTGAGCTTCTGGACTCCTTCCTTATGACTATATTGCATTCACATGTTAATGATGCATATTTGTTTTGCTCTTTACATGCACTCTTGAAATCTGCAATCAAAAGCAGTCCATCTCCTTATTACGACAGTTTTCAGATTTTTGGGAGTTTTGGGAGTTTTTGTTCCGCCGCAGCTTTTATCCACGTCAGTTGTCAGGGTTGGAACTCTATAGAGTGGAAATGATGAACCAAGAAATCCTGCATGCTGTGCTTCTGTGAAATCCTTCACAGAAGCATGCCACCAAGGCTCGTTGTGCAAGAGTTGAGTAAAAACCGAGAGTTCAAGCCTTCATCTCACCAGTTCCATTTTACAAGAAAACTTGAAATTTGATATCACAAAATCTCAGGTCCAAAGAACGAAATTGTTCAAACTTGTTCTCAGAGATATTTAAAAGCTGACTCAGGTCTCTTATTGTGGAATTGTAACCTGATTCAAACTTGTTTTACGATGGCGATTAGTATGATTCGGACAGGACTCTGACTGCACGAGCCGTCAGTCGATTATGTGCCTAAGAGTGTACGTTCATTCTTCGTTGATTGCAAATTGTGAAATTTTAAAATTTTGCAAATCAGTTGCATGTCTCACTAAGGGGTATCTAGGAATAAACTTTTCCTATACAATTCTTCTCATCATTCTAACTTATCTTTAATCATTGACAGGCCTTTAACGTTTAAAATCAATGCTTCAGATCCAAACCGATGTTCAGTACCAATATTTTCCTCTTTGAAAAAGTATCAATGTTATATTACTGTAGGGCCTGGAATGATGACCAAACCTTGATTACCGGTTAGACCTATTGTTCGGAAGATTTACTAATTCTTACCCACGAAGACGACAAGGTTAGCGTAATAGCTATCTCATGACGAGTCTTCAGGTAAAAACAGAGATGAAAATAAACCAGGAGATAAGATTAGCCGGATTATAGATTTTAATGGCTATGATCGCAAGGAGTCCAGACTCCGAGGTTGCACATGGCAACAAAATTCTCTGCGTAGTTGCATGGGGACATTCCAGCAAACCAGGAGCTTAGAGTAGCTTTCTAGTAGATGCCGAATCATGGACTTGACCTTGATGGAAGGGCTCATACAATGATTTGAGATTGTGATCTGGCTGTGTGGCAAAGCGATCGGTATTGAACCTTAGGCGATGGTGATATGGACGTAATGCTGCATAACTAGACTGAACGATGTATCGACGTCTGAGGATAATATTTGATCTGTATTGTTTGCAATTACATTTCAAATCAGTGAAAGAGCCACATACATCCATGGTTTCCGAGGGAAAATATGTGTTGCAGATCTTGATATTCTCATTGAAATAAGCATTCCTTTGCATTTGTTTTGGATTGTACTGAAGGTGATGCAGGTAAGATGTCTTGAATTTCCAATGAAAAAGAATCAAGATTTATAATGTTCAAATGCACATTTTAACCAAGAAGTTTGCTATTATGCCATGATTTTGATTCTAGTTGCAAGTATATTTCCGACTCTATGCAGCATCCAGAGCTCATTGAGTCTCTGTCCACACTCGCCGTCGTCGAGTCCACATTACAGACGGCAATTCAAGCGCATTCCAGTTAGAGGTCGAGAGGCAGGGACTCCAAGTAGATCAACACCATATCTCCGTGTTCAAATGAACTTTACATTTTCAGGTGATATTCTATTCCAGTGTAACATAGTAAGTAAGGTATATTACCTTCATAATTACAACACTTTTAAATATATGAGTGTTGCTCGCAAATATTGAGACTGAAGGTATTTTAATCTTGTGAAGGAAGCCATAGGTAAGTGTATAATGAACTACGGTTCATACACGTGGAGTCCTCGAGGGACAAGTAGTAAGGGGTGACATTTATAAGATCTGGAGAGTGGAACTCTATCATTGGAAGATCCACACCCTCTCAGCAGTCCAGTCGGTATGAATTGGATACGTATATAGGGACTGAGTCAAAACTCAGTCCCTCCCTATATTAGAGTCGAGTTCCACTGCCTAAGGATTCAACAAGATGTAAGTGTGCGCAAACACCTGCGAACTCATATTTTGAGTGTAGACAAAATAAGATCCAAAGAGCTGAATATAATTGTCTCAACGCAGAGAGCGTAAGAAACTACAACCCCCAAAAAATCAATCTCAAGATGTTTCTTTGTTTGATTCTTTTATTTATCATGGATGAGTCATATTGGAGACGCGTGATGCTCCTTGGCTGGATATAGTGATCAAATCTTATGATCTCACACTGTTTAACAGCTCTAATCTGCATCATTATTCTCTTCCTCTCAAACCGTTTAGCCTCTACTCTTGCATCTTGCAAACTCACTTGGGCTTTTACCCAAATAAACTTTGATGGATGGTGTCTAAAAATCATCCCTTCTGGAAATCTAGATGATTCTCAGCTCTTCTCATCAGCATTTCTCCAACAAATTCAGTTCTTTCATTTCTCGTTGCATACATAACGTCTGTCTTTACCTTGCACGTCATTGCTAATCCCATGAGCAGCCCCGTAAGCTTGTGGCTTCAAGACCTCTCTCATGCCATCATTACCAAAGTTGGTAAACCATCAGTACATCACTCAGTATCCGAATCATGGATATTTACCACTCTATAACTAGCAACCTAGTTTCTTAACTCCTCTATAAAACCTTGATCTTTTTGACGATGACGAAGTTTGTCACAACCATATATATATCTTCTACTATAAGTGATATAAAGCACCGTAGGCCTTGTACTCAAAGGACTGGTTGGCTCCAGCTTTAAAGTAAGAATACCCATTTAATACATGTCTCTTTCTAAGAGAAAATTAATGCCTGTGAAGGGAACATTGCTTCTTACCAATGTTGCGCAATATGAAGAGTTCATAGGACACTCGCCTTCTTGTGATCCATGACTCATGCAGCAGGAACCAAAATGCTTGAGTTTGTGGTTCCATCGTGGTGGGCCTTGAACATTATACATCACTTCAGTATAAAGAAAGGCATCTATATGGCTGGACTACGTCCAGATATGATCTCCATTATTGACCTTTTGAGCTTTTGCAGGACGTGACCTGAATAGTGGCTGATTCCTTAGTCTTACACAAAGAACTATCTCCTTGTTTCGTAATCTTCCAGCCAGTGCGAATCCCTCGAATCACCATAACATGTACAGAAGATGGTATTGTTTCTGCATATTCTGAAGAAAGACTCTTCAGGGGGGAATTTCTCTGCGTCAGAACTGGCGGACCAAGTTCAAGAGCCAGAGCTGTGTGGTATTGGATCCCATGACCTCGGCCACGACGATGCGCTTGCGCAATAGAAAATACTTTCGTACTAATTTCCTGCTTCTGATTGGGTGCACCGGGCCTGTTCGTATCTCGAAATGATTTTCAACTCTAAGGAACTGGTTCATGGGAAGGTTAGAGAATGAGAGCCGCCACCCGGTACACCTTCGTCATTGCGTTCCCCGCTCCCCGCAACAAAAGGCGTTGATTCTGGTCGACTGCTGCGGCCACTATCTCATGCCAGTAGAGAGTGACGGATTTAATTACAGATCGATCTGGAAAGTGAGATTCTGCATCGGTGGAGAATGCTTTCGAAGTTTAGTGATCCGTATTAATACATTGTGGTGGTTCAGCCATTCCATCATCTCTTGCAATCCCCATTCTCAAAGTTTTTTCTGGCTCCTGAGTTCTGACAGAGACCTCTACTTGACCGAGAGGCTCATCACCACTTCAACTCGATTTCAAAGTCTCTCTCTCTCAGACACAGAATGGCTTCCATCATGATGAGGTCAGCTGTCGCCAAGGTCCTTATCGCAGCTGTGGCAGTCTCCACCGTTGGAGTAGTTCTGGCAGCAGAAGCCCCAGCACCTGCTCCCACGGGAGTGTCATCAGCATCAGGCTTCTTGCCGGCAACCGTGGCTACGACCTTGATGGTTGCCATCACCGGGTTCGTGGCAGGTCGATGGTTGTGAGACCAGCATCTCAGCATTCTTCTCCTTGTCGTTCCTCCGGGACAAGCCGGCAGAATACGAACATGGAGTCTCTCTATGAATAACCTGGACCCGTATTCCGGATTCAGCAGACATGAGCCCAACTACAAGGGCATACATTGCCTCGGAAGCAAAATGAGGGAAGAAATTTGGAACTTTGGAACGCTGGCAAGATGGCAAGGTGGCAAGGTTGTGAACTCTGTACATAGAAGTAGAAGATAGTCACGTAGACTTGACGCAACATGATTAGGCTCCACACGTCATAATCAGGATGGCATCTGATGTGCACTAGCGAGATTTCACGCTCAGATCAGTAAAGACCTTCGCCACACCTGCTGGCTTCAGCCTCTCCTACTCTTCTGGGCTTACGTTCGTTTGTTTGTTCGTATTGAAAATGTCAGATTCGGATTCTAAATGTGCTATCCATGTTGATCGATGCAGCGTCAAATTTTAAAGATTTCAAGCCCAAGGTGCATGAGCATGATGCGTGTCTCGTTTTTCCACCCTACTTTTGTTCATTGCTTCTATGCGATCAGTATCGGATGCTGATGAGAATCTCACTGATGCCTCTCTACTACACGGAGACCTCGAAAATCGATCTTGCTGTTGGTCTCCCACTTTCATTATGACATCCCGGGGGGATTTGTTTGCGGATGTTTCCAGACGGTTCTCAAAAACATGAAGAACTGAAAAAACAAAACTTTGTCTCGACATAATAACGCATGTAAGATGAGCCTTTGCTTCCGACTGAGTGGCCATAATCTTACTCGAAGAGCTGTCGATGCATCACACTGTTTGACATATTCTCTAGTTCAAGACATGGATTCTCAGTATCAAGGTGCCGAAATCTGTACCCCTCGCACTGGCCAGAGGCTACTTATAACAAGCCTAACATTATCACTTCGGCTTGAGTACATAGGGGCTGATAACACAATTTGCTCGGTTAGGGGAGGAACATTTGGTGAAAAAGGGTGGATATGAGGTAGACGCTGCTGCTCTCAGCCAGCAAAGGATCTTCAATTCCAGTTTCAGGGCTGGTGAAGTTCGTGGAGTCCCTGGAATGCTTCTTTGTTGCACCTTCTCTTGTCTTGTCATTCAGCTCTTCCTGCCCTCTCTCCAATCAACTACGCATCCACAAGTCTGAACCTATCATACACATTTCTGATCCTTAGATTTTGAATACGTACAAGCTAAGAATAAATAAGATATTGCATTATTTGGCTTGATGGGAAATCCCAACAATTCAATTCGATTTGAAATTTTTGAAACTCAACCGCGACTGATACATATCTCTGATTCTGTACAGTGAAAAAAGGCTTTTAAAAAATTCAATTTATGTACTTGGCAAGGTATGCAAATGTGGAGTATAGGCAACAAGTGATGGTATACACAATCACATACCATATATTTGGTCACATTATGCGGTGCCATAATATGCATCCTTTTGTCAACAGTGACTTGGAAGAAAGCTACGAGTACTCTTCACTTCAAGTAGATCTATTATGTGATTTCATCTTTGCCTCTTGCGATAAAACAAAATACGACCATTATTACATATCATCCTCTACACTGTACGTATTAATGCCAGCACATACTAGTAACTTCGTTATTGGATTCAGTGTCCTTCCGTCAGATTTACAGAATAATAGTAATGTGCACTGGATGGAATCAGTAGTGATTGCTTCGAAACCTCTGATATATATCAAGTAGTCTACATGTCAGAAGCATCCACTGGTTATAACCTATCAGACTCCATAGGTACAAGGGATGGTTCTCACCCTTCAAGTAGAAGTGCGGAAGAACACTGAGGAAGGCATTTGCAACCAGATATATGTCAATAAAAGAACAATACTATTCTTGTAAAACACTTGGGTCTAATGTGCCTGCGTAAGGGTAAATCTCACTCTCTCACAATACAAAGCCCGTTTGGCAAACTTCTAGCTGCTGTCAGGTTTCAATATTCTGTGTCTGACTTTCCTTTCATCACTTTACGTTTTATGAGGGTCAAATAGTGGTGTTAAACTCCCTTGGCACCAACTGCCAATGAAGTTGATACGGGAGTAAAATATGCTGTCAGTGGACTTAAGTCTATGAGGTTCACCACTAAGATTCACAAGACCAACAAAATCAATGATTGTTCTAGCACAAATGTTGTAAGAGGGAAGCCATTGCTCTCTAATTGGTAGACCAGTCTTTTCGATGCCAAAGTCGTCTTTGTTTTGCTAGAAATAGTTTACACAGGTGTAAGAGAATGAGTGCCTCTAGCTGACCAGCGGTGCGTTGCTTTCCCGCAAGACATGGCTTCAAATTTGGTGCTCTGCTGGCATATGCTAGTGTGGAAGTTGATGGATGTGAGGTCAATATTCAAACATGTTTAAGCAAATTCGAATAATATCCCCACATAGAAAGCGATGGCTGTGTTCAAGGTCCATATAAATATGGTTTGGTTGATCACCAGGACTCATCGTCTTTCACATCTTCACTTGAAGTTCCCGACCTCTTGCAGCTTGACGTTTCTTTGTCATCATCCTTCAGACTTTTGTATCAGAACATCAGCGAGTCTACTCGATCGAGACGCTCATCACTACGTCAAGTTTGTTTGACATATTAATTCTGTGAACCACTGCGCTCTGCTTTGTTTTACAGGCCGCTAAAATGACGTCGACCATGAGATCAGCTGTCGCCAAGGTTTTGATGGCAGCCGTGGCTGTCTCCAGCGTTGGAGTAGCTCTGGCGCATGAGGCCCATGAACACGCCCCAGCACCAGCACCGTTGGCGACATCGGCAGCATCAGGCCTGTTGCCAGGAACGATGGTGGCCAGCTTGATCGCAGTCATCCTGGGGTCCGTGGCAGCTCGATGGTTTTGATCGCTTTGAATGGGATCTCAGAGATCGCACTTCCAAATCAATCATCTGTGCGTTGCTGCAGGGCTCCTCGGCACAACAGGGGTTTGCAGTCGTTCTAAGGATGTCATTGACATTAACAGATTCTTGTCTGAGGTTTGACCATCAAACTCAGCAGAATTGATCTTAACTGAAGGATTTTTAGGTCGAACAAAGAGGGGGGAAATGAGCGGGAGGTGGCATTGTGACCAAGTAATGAGCAATGAATACTAGATTATAGTGATGTGGAAACCAGGAAGTACGATTACAATGACAATAGTATCAACGAGAGATCATGACACTGGATGTGTATTAGAAGAAAGTCACAACCCAATTTAGTGAAGAGCTTTGCTGCGTTGCTGCTTTGCTTTCATGTAACCAATTGTGATTTGAGTTTTGATTTATCAATAAATTCTCATCAGCATGGGAAGTTTTGACAACACAAATAATGAGCTTCTGGACACCTTTCCTAAACCTTGTGTTGCATCCGCAAGTTTAAGCTGCAAAATGTTTTGGCTCCTGCAGAGCGCTTCTGAGGTCTGTCAGTAAATGTCCATGTCGATCTCCTTATCACTACAGTTCTCAAAGGTTATGGATTTTTTCTGCAAAGCTGCGACTTAAATCCACGTCGTTTACAAGGTTTGGATTCTAAGAAGTGGAAATGATGGACCGAAGATTCCTGCGTCAGTGTCTTCACAAAAGGCATGCCACAATCGTTCGTTGTGGAAGTGTGAGTGTGAATGCTCAAGCCTTAATCCCACCAGTTTCTCTGTACAACCAAGCGGTTGTACAGAGAAACTGGTGGGATTAACGTGAGAACTGATATTAAAAAACTTCGAGTCCAAAGAGCGAATCGAAGAGTTTAAAGTTTGTATTGTCAGATTTGGACGATCACTTAGCTCTCTTATTGTGAAATTCTTCGGTGTATGAAGCTTGTTTTGTGATTGGAATTAGTATGGCTCAGACAGGACACTGACTGCATGTATAATCTGCCTAGGAGTCGATGTTCAACTCGAATTTTATGGCAGATTATTTTACTTATAAATATTGCTATTCAGTTGAAGTTTTCACACATTCGAGGCAGGGAACAAACTTTTCACATACAAGAGTAGATTTTTCAGTTGGACATGCCATCAGGGCTGATGATTTCAACAGTAAGCGGAGGGTTGAAGTGTTTGAGTATGAAATGGGTTCATTAGGGGTTCAAGTTCCGAAAACGAGACTTTGAGAATCTAACTGTTGTGTATGTTGTACCTAGTGCATAGGAAAAAAATTGTAATTATATGTTACAGCTATAAACTTTTGGAATTTTCAGAGTAATATATTCTTATTGTCATATTAAATCATAACAATCTACAATTTCTGATCTGATATTAATGTATATTGTGATACAAGAAACGTATGCAAACTCCATCAACTTGCACCATTAGATATGCTTCGTGAATCCACATAGCTTTGAGCCTGCAAAGTCTAAGTTATAGCAGATTTTTTATTCTTTATTCCGCTACTCCAATCTAACTCTCTAAATATTTCTATCATAACCTGACAAAGGAACAGTAGACACAAGGAAATCTGCTAATCCTCACGTTGGCATTACTCCATGATCACAATTCAGTTTGCACACCTGTCTCACACCGAGGTTAATTACTGAAGTTACCGCTTGTGGTACTTACGACTTCTAACTCATCATCCATCATCTGGTTGCAGATGCTTCATTCTATGTTCTTCTGCTCTTCTACTTCAAGGATGAGAACCATCCCTTGCACCAATGGAATCTGATATGTAATAACCATTGCATGCTTCTGAACGTGCGAATTACTTGATAAGGTAAGTGGTTTTTATGTACTTACTACTTGTTCCAGCCAGTAATAAATGCTTATCTCTTACTGTCTACAAATTTAGAAACAGCACTAAATCAAACGGCAAAAGTACCGGGTTCTGCTGGCTTTCGGACTTACAATGCAGAGGAGAATAAAATTGGTCAGTTCTCTTACTCAATCACAAGAAGCGATTATGAACTTACGTGTAAGCGTAACTCTGTCTCCTTTATATACATAGATCTTCACTTGGGCGTAATAAAAGACTGCATAAGAAAAGGATAGAACTGTTAGAAGTGAACTGTAGAACATAATCTTACTATACTGATCTTGCTTATCTCTTACTTAAGATTTGCTTATCTCTCGCAACTTTTGTTCAAATAATAATAGAAACATTTGCAACATCTAAATGAACAAGTTCAACGCAGGCATATGGTTCACTTCTTTACAGTCGGGCCACTTAAATCAAAATACTACGTTGCAGTCATATTCACGAAGATAATTTTAACCTTGAACTCCAGTACACATATTTGACACGATACATTAGATTTTTGGACTCGTATTTCCCTCTCATTAATTCTCAAAATTGCTTCTACATTGAAAATGGTAGCAATAGTACCTTACAGAGAAACCTCGAACTTTCAGATTCCAAACTTACAGCACTCCGTGCTTATATCTTCAAGAAACATGATCTGAAAGGAATACAGATTTCTGTTCTCAATGATTTCCACCCCATCGATTCCCAACCTCACAAAGGAGCTCGATTTGCATCGCAGCTGCATTAACCGTGGATCCTCCAGAATCTGTAGGTAAAAGGCGATGCATTTGAAATTGTATTCATGACTGCCAATCAACATATTGTGACATAGTTTGAAATCGCTCGATAAGACCCACCGAACTTCGAATTGCTACTCCATCTCATTCTTCAGACTGAAGAACTGTGTACACGCATCATCTTCTGCATGTCGGCACAGAAGAAGGTGCACGGTGACACAATTGGACCTATCGATTATATCAGAGGTTGTTTTGTCGAGAGCAAAACAACGAGGGATGTGACAAAGGTCTTTAAACTATTAGACATCAAATGTCACCTTCACTGGTGGACACTTTCCTACTTACTCGTGCCGGTAATGTCCACCGTAAGAATCTCTGATTTCAAGCACTAATACTGATTGTCTTGCTCGGAACAGAAAAATCGGACCAAGGCGACTGTAAATGAATCCCAGGTTCTTCCACGATATAACGAGCAGAAAATTTGGACTCGCATCGATCACAACTATCGAGCTGCCACGGATCCGGCTATGGCAAGCACCATGATCCTTGTCCGATCGATGATGGCAAACAGCCTGATGCAGCTGATGCTCCCAAAGGCGCCATTGATGGCCCTCATGTCCCAGAGTCACACCGTTTACTGTCATAGCTGCGATCAAAACCATGGCGAAAGCTGACCTCCTGATCTGGACTTTTGTTCACGGGCCTGCAAAAGAAGCGGCGGAACGAAATGACGGTTTGAAACTTAATACACTTGAGTGGCTGATGTTCTTCTCGGTCGAGTAGAGTTGCGGGTTTGTGGCAGAATGATGACAGAGAATCTCGAATTCGAAGACTACGATTCCTCGTGATCAACCACACTATTCATAAGGACGAACAAAGTCACGAAAGCTTTCTCAATCAAGGCGAATTCCTCTCTGATTTTTCAGTCTCCATATTGAATTTTGCTCGTAACACAATAATGTTGCGGAGTTTGCAGGTGGCTCGAGCAACGCGCAAAGATCAAACCCTTGTGTTTTGGAAAATTGAATTATCACGTTCTGTGAAATTGGGGCATTCAATTCAATGAATTTCTTCAAAATTGGACCGTCAGGAGAAACCAGATAGAAATTGTGACGGCGATGACCACGATGATGATGCGATTGTGATGTCTCTAAACAACAGAAAAAACATCAAGGATTAAAAAATCCTCGCACCGTAACACTCTCGGTTCAGTCTACAGCGAATTACAGCCCCAGAAGCCAAAGCAGCCTGATTATGCATGCAGATCATGGATGGTTTCATCACGCTTCCTCGCTTTAAACTTGCCTATGACGATGCCTTCCTCATGCTATTTCCAAGTTGGAAGGACCACCTCCGTCGATTGAACAAAGCATAACGAGATATAATTGTCTGCTTCATGAATCCATAATCCGAACATTAGAACATGCTAAGCAATTGTCCGACAGCTAGGATAAGCATCGACCTTTTCGAATGGATAATTCACATGGTAAACAATTACTGCCTCATGGATCCTTACAGTGAGAGGCGAATTTCATTTTCAACTAAGACTTCATTCTGTACTGGGCCGCACTTCTGAAAGGTTGTTCAAAATCCATTCCATGATAATCTCTAACCGAATCTGATAGTATGTACATTTGCAGCTATTTGAGATTTTCCAGCGCCAACCGTCTGAACCAAATCACATTCCACATTCTAGCTTCAGAGTCATCAAATTAGAGAATATGACCCTGTGATTTCTGTATTGCTCCGACATGGACAAACCTTAGTGCGATGGCTAGATTCTTGACGACGATCACTGAACTGAGGGAAAGTTTGCTGTACCATTGAATGGTACGTGAACCTCTACCATCAAATTAGCTAAACGAGTCTCAAATTAAATGGTCTCCGTGAACACGAACACTCGATAATGTCTTTCATGGCCATGACGAGTACATTGAAATACAAAGGATGAAAGTATAGCAAGATAGAACTTGCAGATTGGTCAATAACGTGATTGTTGGGGTTTTGAAGAGAATATATAATCTAGAAGACCTTTCTGGATGTCCAAGGTTTTGAATTATAGAGATATATAAAGATTGATTAATTTCTGTGGTGTCATATTCGTGAACAAGGTTATTATCTGAAGCAAGATATTACGATTGGTGTCTTTAAGAGTTCAAGGAGAATAGAGGCCTTGGGATATACTTCTAACGCAGAGAGAGTTGTGTATCTAGATTTTTAGACTTACTTTTAAAACCTCTTCAATATGAACAAAACATAACCTCACATGAAAAATATAACACTTCAATGGACCTTGATCTTATGATAGAGTTTAACAAAAGTTGGTCGACTTTTCTTATAGTTTCCAATATCTTCTTGCCACATTAAAGGTTTTAAAAGAATGTGTTCAATTTTTTTTAGAATTGAGTACCAAATACAAGTAATACAAAATACATGTAACCATTCATGATTTCTGCGGCTAAAGATGTTGGATCATGTTGCGAAGAAAAAGTGATCTATGACTTTTCATCCATCGACTCAGTCTTTTAATTATAATTTTAAAAAAATGTAAATCGTCTCATTTTTTTTAAAATGAGGCTAAAATTTTTGCAAGAAAGGGAATCCGGTTCTAGATCTCTGGCGATATTTTATTTATTTTATACTATAAAAAATTAATTTTGAAATCAAAGCAAGAAAGCAAAATCAGTACCATCTTTTGCTTGCTAGAGTGCAAGTTATAAGTATTAAGATAGAATAATACAACCAATTTTTACTTAAAAATTTATTATGATGTATTTATGTATATGTTCAATAATTCAGATGTATCATAAAAAGTGCAGAAATTCAATATTCATTTTATATCAATGAATATTGAATTTAGAAACCTTGTGGTTTCAAATATTAAATTTTAATGCAAAGAATAAAATTTTCAAAAAAATCATTATTCAGTTAGAAAACATCATGATATATCAAAAATTAATAATCTAATAAATTTAGATGGAAACATATGTTTTTAATATTACAAAATACATATTTACTACAGACCCGAGATATATAGATGGTGGCAGACAGGGAGAAGACCGGGCGACCTCGTCACATCCTGTGGGCGAAGCGGCATTAGGGAGCAGGTGAAAAAAGTAAATCTCCAAAGCGTTGAAAGTACAGTTCTATGTGTAATTTTTATTTCGCAGACAAGACTTACATATTATATTATGTTATATTTGCATCACAATTATCTAGAAAAAGAAATCTTTCTTGATCATGGAACGATATAAAAATATGGAAAATTAAATGTATAAATTTCAAATCATATTAATCTCTCTAGGATTTGGAAATATAATATTTCATATTCAACAAGAATTTCTAATGAATATATATAGCTATATTTTTTGTATGCTTTTGCATGGCATCTAGCTATTAGGAAACATACTAGCGAATAAATCACTTTGTGTATGTTCAATATCTGAATTTTAAATAAATTTGAACACATGTTGTTGTCATTTAGTACCATTAACGTTAAACTGAAAATATATATAATATTTAAGGTAAAAACTCATACATTGATACCAACGAAATGTTGCTCTTTTCATCCATAACAAAAAATATAAATGGCAACCTTTCATTACTAAATTGTTATTGATTATTTAATGAATAATAATGTAGAATTGAATTTTCGGTTACTTAAATCACATATATTCATCATTCATAAAGAATTTATTATGTTTGTGTAATACTAAATTTATGTTTAGAAAAGAAAATCTTACTTGAAACTCTCGTCCTTATGACTTAGGGTCTAAATAAATGACTGATCTCACTTCATTGTGGTTGAGTCAGGTATTTTGATAACAACAATATAGAACAACTGTGCATTTAGTTAAGTTGCAAAATAAAAATAACCTTATCAGGTATTTTGTGTTGCAACTACTTGATTGATATCATGTTTATGCCACAAGGTAAACGTGATATCTTTATCATTTATATCTAGATTTGTTCGATCAAAAATATCAAATCTTGACAAAAATGTAATCAATCTCATCATTAGACTCTAATGCCTTGTTTTTTTTTCTTTCCCCCAAACTTACAAAAGATTTTGAACGTTCTTGTAATCCAATGCATACATCTTTGGTTGAAGAAAATACAATAATATAGCGTCACGATCACATATCTTTGTTAATTTCATGATCACTCAACTAAACTATTTAAATCTCAAACAAATTAGAATAAATAAATAGATGATATAAATGATTTTATGGAATGTATTATAATAAAATTATTAAAATATTTGAGTTGAAAAGTTTCTATAATTTCAGATAAACTGAAAAAACCACTCAACCCACTATTTCTTTCAAATGCAAAAACGTAAGCCGTTTAAAATAGTACAGAAATAAATAGAAATAGTCACTTTTTAATAGCAGTGGAACATGCCGGCACCGCAACGGGCAAAGGTCGAGTCTTTCCAATCCATCTGGCCGGCTGCCAACCGAGACGGCCGATGACTGAAATTGGAGCCAGAAAAGTGAGCAAGTGCTTTCCCGACGTAAAGTCAAGAGAGCACTGCCTTAAGGCTGCGAGTCTGTGTTTTACCCTATCGATCGATCGATCAATTTATCGAGGAAAGTACGAGGACAGGAGGGGCGTGTCGTGGTCGAGCTTAAGTGGTGTCAATTTTTGTCAGCTTTCGCTCACTACGATTTGTTTTATTTGAGTTGAGTTGAGTTGAGTTGAGTTGAGTTGATTTGATTTGATTTGATTTGATTTGATTTGATTTGATTCGTCTCGACTCGACTCAAATCGACTGGACCAGACCTTGTGGGAGGATTGGAAGGCAGATGAGATGGCGTTCCTTGCGATGGAATCCTCGATGGCCGCGTGCAAGTCTGCTGCGCCCTGCTTCCGGGGAGCGCGATCGATGTCCTTTTCTTCTTCGACTTCTTTGAGGATGGCGTCGCCTGTGACCCCGGTGGCGCCCATGCGCGCGCGCGTGGTGGTGATGTGCGCCGTGCCCAAGGAGGCTGCCAAGGAGATTCAGAAGATAACGGAGTTGATTAACAAAAGAGTGCACGAGGCCGAAGAAAAAGGGTGCGAGTCCGACCCCAACATGGAGTGTGTCGCTCGATGGGAGGAGATTGAAGAGCTCAGTGCTGCCAGAGCCCACAAGAAGGCGCTGTTCACAGCGCAGGCTGAGGAGCTAAAGAAGAAGGGTCAGTGGGGAAGAACATCCGAGTGAATTATCGAGGTAAACGAACCCGAACATCACCATTACAGTTTGACAAGACTTCCTTGGGACGTCCTGGGAGTCTACGTAGAATGGAAGGATTGAGTTTCTCTGTTTCCCGCACCCTCCTCTTACCGGACTCTTCAGGACAGATCCTCCATCGATGTATATACACTCATCTCCCAACCCTCTTCCTTAGCTTGAACCCGTTCTCTTTACCGTACAATTGAGTATTTCTGACAGGATGAACTTTGCGTGGATACCAATCAAAAACTGTCAGGCTCCCTGCAGCATCGATATGCAGCTCAATTGTAAGTCGTATTGTTTTGTGTGAGCCTGTATGAAGACTTGTTGACCTTCACAACCCTCACCGTTTATCCGAGTACTGTACAGAAACCTGACACATGCCATAAGACTACCTTTCGTATTCGTCCTGTAATATCCTGACTACTGCTAATCTTAAGCTTTAGCTTCGGAGCACAGCCGCCTTTGTTAACGTAAGTAAGCGGAGGTTTGATGGTAAAGCACAATTAGTATGCCAGAACTGGCTCCCAAAATGGTCGTGCATCTCACCGTGGTTGTGTGACTGGTATTCGAAGTAGACCCGTAACCTTACCTTGTGCTGACACTGTCTCTCCACTTATGAACATTGAAGGGACATTTGGACCCAAGCATAATAAACGTATACCTTCAAGAGGCCATGAGCAGCTGATGTTGACTTTGTCAAGTGTACATGGTTAAGTCTTGCATGATCAACAATTCCCGGGTTTCTTTCAATTCTCATATTAAAGTACCTCGTGATTGAATATGATGTCAGGTGCCGTTCATTGTGATTGCAATTGCCATCTGTGTTGAATTTTTTATAGTTTGTCCTCTTCTTCGTGGATTTGTGAAGTTAGATGGTGCAAATTTGGTGGCCGTTGTTACGAGAGTTTTTCTGACTGCCTAGTATGTATATAAATTTGATCAGTCATGTGATTAGTTATGTTGATGAAGAATATCTGTGACAGTATGATTAGGCATTAACGTCTTCACATCAGAGCACAATACAGCAAAGCCTCTTAATATGTCTAACACAAAAGGAATGGCGGCGGAGATGAACAGATAGAATAAGACAAGCTGTATAGCCTTGCAGAGGCTGAAAGGGAACTGTTGATGTCAGAGCTGAACTCAAGAAATTTGAACAAATTTTTAATCTAGTGAATGTGAGTAAGTAGACCCACTCCTACTGTTCCATTTACAGAAGATCAACGTATGTGATATAAGAAAGATTGGTCAAAGAGGAAACGGGTTCTTTGTAAATTCCGTTCTCTACACTTCTTACACCAGAACAAAAGTAAGGATTTGTGTGAAAAGCTCTTAATTGTTTATCAAATCGAGATTAACACACATTTCAGGCTGCACGAAGTCAGGATTTTCTCAATAGCAATATCTATCTTATTGGAATAAGTCAAGTTACGATGTTTGATTATTTCCACTTTTGTTTCACGTTCAAGTTCGAAATTACTTGGTTTACACAGACCACACATAATCATATGTCATGGATTGTAACGGAGTCATGAATCCAGAAATGATACTACGTCCTTCCCTGTCCAACCTCCCGTCAAGCCTTTGAGTATACGCTCTGTTCTCATGACAAATTACAGAAAAAGTTATCTGCCTTTAAACAGGTCTGACTATGGCATTTGAATAACTCTGCCACCATCCACGAGAATTAAACCAGAAAGAACTCTGAACGACAGCTTTTAAGAATCCTATAACCATGTTCTCACCTACAGATGTCCACATAATCACAAGATTTTAGCTTCGACGTTGGCACATCTACAAGTAAAAGTATGAAATCACGACACTAAAAGTTCTTTCAGGGCTACTCACAGACAAACAAGAATGTCGTGAAATCGTAGTAGCCTGGATGTCCAGCAGAACGCTTTGGACATCGACAACGACAGAAGATTCATCGAAAAATATTCATTCATCAACTCAACTCATGTAATTCACGAGGCTGACAGCGTTCTCATGGACAACTTTAGTTGACCATTAGATCGTTTACGGAGACAGCACAGTCTTTACACAATATCCAGCAACTTGAAGTAGGACCTCTGATTGACGAAGAATGAATCGATGGTTCAGCAATCCCAGTGACAGAGTGCTCCAGAGCGCGTTTCTCACATGTCCAAGCCCACAATGACAGTGCATCCAATAACTTCTATACAAAAAAACCAATCGATATCCATGGGAAGTGTTGCTAGTGCAGTCCGCTGCAGTACCAACTGTCATTGACTAACCATCCAGAGCCAAGAAAACAACTGAAGAAACTGAGGGTACCCATATCCCAACTTACAAATGCTTGTGTATGACGAGAGAGGAAGAGACAGAAATCTGAAAGACCGATTGATAAACCTTCAAGTTGGATATCCCTCCCAACCAGGTATTAAATCTTGAACCGTCCCGTAATCAAAAGTGAAAGAAATGGTTGCCCTCGGCTTTGACTTTATCGGAAAAATTGCAAAATTCGGCCCCTTATCTTTTCAGCTACACAATACGTTCAAGTGTCCACATAACTATATCAATCACAGCTCTTTTCTTGAAAGAACTTCATAGTCTGAAACAATGTCAACAGCTCATGGATTTACGGATGTAATTGCAAGAAAAAATTATTCCTCATTTCACATCCTCGATCAAAAAAACGGATCGACCTAGAAACTGATATTCTGTCCTTCCAGAACGCCTAATTCATTTAATCAGCTGCATGTAGAACCCTAGGTTTTGTTCGAAGAGGAGTTCGCTGCTATGTGCGGTAATCATCAACAATGTTGTTTCCTAAATTTGGGAACCGGTCTCAGAAAATCACCCATTCTTACATACGGACAACCGCTACGGAGATGGGTAAAAGAGCACAACAAGGCCACAGAAAGATGATCGGACGCTTCAAAATAGACTCGAGCAGGACAAGAAGAGCATATACGCAAGAACGAGAGTTTATTAACAGCACGGAATCTGAATCAAGAGACTCTTCAGGAGATAAGTATGGTACAGGGCGGGGCAAAATTGCGCAGAAATCACGTGGCGCGGTTCATGTTCCAAGTGGAGTAGAGCCACGGCAGCTGCGTCAAGTACAAGGCCAGGTAGAGCACCCAGAGGCTGCTGGAGATGTGCAGGAATCGCGCCAGGAGCCCGCCGCCGTCGAGGGTGGGCAGCAGCATGAGGCCGCGGCTGAGCTGCCGGAATCTGTACGCCGTGTACACGATGGGCACCAGCGGACTCACGGGCAGCTTCTCGCCGGTCATCAGGCGCTCGTACACGACCTGCACGAAGATCAAGCTCAGGTACGGCGCCAGGACGGCTACCGCCGGTAGCAGCTTGCCGGTGACGAAGGCGGCCAGCGTGGCCAGCGCGGCCGTCCCGACGGCCGCGTACGAGACGTAGTTCAGAGCTTTGGGAAACCCGGCCGGGTAGCCCGTGAACTCCCAGGGCCCGATCCAGGGCGGAGGCCCGCCCGAGATCTGGTTATGGTGGCCGAGCTTGTTGGTGAGCACGAGGAAGAGGTCGGTCGAGAGCACGAAGAGAATGTCGAGCCCGAATGTGGCCGCGAGGCCGGCCAGATAGTTTCGTTGGAAGATGGTGGCCAGGCCCATGGTTGTGGCCGGAATCACGATCATTGTCGTCGACACGATCGGCCCCAGCATCCAGCTGTAGCCTGATTTCTGCTCCAGGAAATCGCTGATCTTGCCTCGAACGTCGGCCGCCCTTCTCGCCACTTTCTCCTTCGCTCTCTTCGCTTTCTGATCCTCCTTCGTGTCGTTGTTTTTTGATTCCGCTTCTGTTATCCTGATGCCCTTGCTCTCATCGACCGATTTGCACAACCTTTGCTCTTGCTTCAGGCGATCGATGCCCCGGCCGATGAACTGCCTCCGAAAGGCTACACTCTTTGAATGTAGTCTAGGGTTCCCCGCTTCTATCATTCCTGGCACGTACACAATTTTTCGTGTGTGAGCAACTGACTAGCACGAGCATGCATTCATCGTGTTCTTGCACAGTGCAGATAAATCTGGGGGTTGAAGAATCATTCATCATATAAACATCCACAAGTACAGGCTCGACAAAGTCATTCAGGTTCAGGTTTCTGAAATTTCTCCTATGTAGAGGATGCATAAGTTGAAGTGAACAGGTTTGATTGTCATCAAAACCGTCTGGTCCTAATTCTTTTACCCAGAGAGAGTGCTAAATGTCGACCTGAGACCACAGGCGAAGCACTCACGCTTGGATCTCTCAAGAAAGCTTGAACTCGCGTCGTAGGCAACTCAAATATGTAACTGAATTAGTTCTATAGCTCCATAGTATACATTCACTAGACAAAAACAAATCGACTTGACTCCTGTACACGGGAAACTTATTTCATTCATGAGTAAAGAGACACCCAGCATTGACGTCTTCCAAGAGTAACTGTAAAAGGTGCGACAATTGAACTAGAATTAAATCTAGGAAATGTGGACGTGCAGCCACACTGACGACTTTCAAAATCAAAAGATCTCAGAGACTCATAACATATCACAAACGGTGTTGACAATTTAGATGTGAGTACGGCTATCCCGATAAATGATTTGAGTTAGTCCAGCACATACCGGCATTCGGAAATCGGGTAACAGTCTGTGAGCCTTGAAGGCAATAGAGTCTCGACCCCGCCATGAGGAGCCTGACTAGCTAAAACCCAACTTCTGACTAATTCGTGTAAAGAAATTGCTCCAAACTTCTTCGGATCCAACTTAAATGTACAATTCCACTGGTTCGCGCTTGCATCAGAGTCCGATATGGCACCAGTCGAAAGAATTTGGGACCGCAGAAGCTTCGAAACGCACACAGAATTTGCTCTTCAATATTGCACAGGAGGTCGATCTCTGTCAACTGGAGCACACTCACCCTCGCCTCCGTAGTGGACACGTGTCGAGACCATGCAGTGGGTAAGCATTTGCCAGATGTCATGTCTCCGAGTGCTCGAGACCTGCCAGCTCATGAGAAGATCGATTTGGCACCTATGTGTTCCGCGGATTAGGTGGACACTCTTGAGCAGCTCGAGTACAGGTCGAGAGAATATTCCTTCGGGTTTCTCCTTTAATTTCTTTCTTTTCCCTTCTGGAAATTTCTCCACTCCTTTGTAATTCGAGGCCTCGGCGCGGACTTTTCTAGTGCGTACGAATTTATTCAATGGCGGTATCACTTGTCCAGAATGTCTACAACAGAATTACGATGCGGTACTTTGGGTTATTATAAAGCTCTATACACTAAAAACCTTTTAAAGAACTGTATAATGGCTTCACAATCATAGACTGAATCACCTAAAACTTGCACACAATCGGTAGATTGATGTACTTTGTGACACCATGATATATGGATCCAACCTATACTATTTATTTACATACTCTGAATCCAAACTGAATCTTTTGAAATAATAATATTTTTCAGTAAATGTTTACATGATACAAAAATAATTGTAAATATCTATTGTGTTTAATGTCAGATCTTCTTTTTATTTCAAAGTATGGTATTATCTTTTTCTCACATAAACATGGAGCGCTATACTGGTGATTTTGTTCACATGAACGCTTTACAAATTAGATATATATGCTTGTAATAGTGATAGTAAGACAAACTCATATGGTTTTTTAACACCATAAAGGAAAACTTGCAACATCTGTAGACTCTTCGTGATTTTTTTAGAGACTTTCCATATCTTTGGCTACGCCAGTTTAGGGTTCAAGAAGATTTTATCTCGTATGTCACAAGAATTTCAAAACTAAAGTGGACATTTGCTGAAGTTGGACGTTATAGGATGTGAAACTCTCTCAAGAGTGAGCTCGATGTACATTTGATTAACCACTTTTTGGCTTAATACCTAAGTGCTCGCCGTTTTGGCATATACAGTTGGGGCCTTCCAATTCCACAGAGGGTGGTGGTCTACGTCAAAGCTCACAGTGTTTTCTCTGTAAAACACATTGAATAAATATAGTTCTGAGACACCAACTGCTATATTATCAACAAGAAATGTAACGCTCGTGAAAAAAGGCAGCCGAACAATCCGCTTCGAATATCAGTGGGAGACATTTCAGTCAATTCAAACACCGCCTAACACACGAATTTATCCTGTTTACTCTCTTTACCTCCACACACGACAACATTGGAGAGTTTCAAGCGGTAACAATGTGGGTTTAATGGTTAGTGCTATGCTTACCTCGTATCAGACCTACAGCGGTGATTGCTTTCAATGGTTTCCGTGTTGCTATCTTCGTCCAGGCAGAACTGAAATAATGCAATGTACATCCCCTGTGCCAACGCACTACACCAACTGCTAACAATCTATGAATGTTATCTCTATGTTATCATAACCTAAGAATTATTTATAGTTATGGATTCCGCTTCAGTATATATGATAACTTACATGTATATGCGACAGAAATATTAACTAATGAGATTTTACTGTATAAACAATGAGATACTTTTGAGAATGCCATGTTGTCTGTTTAGGTTAATGTATAACACATTGCTTCGATTGCTTCAGAGAGCAACAACTATGGTGATGTTTGTCTTTAGATGGTTAATTTGATTTGGATAGTTTAGTTTAGATCTAAATATATCATTTACACTGATATATATTTCCTGGCCTTGTTAAATCTATTCTGCTTCAAAACATGGTTTACTTCTATGAACTCGTATTTTATAAAGATATTAACGATTTATCTAACGTGATGTAAATAGCATGTGTTCTTTTACCTAGTGCCGAATTCTTCTGATTCAGTAGTTTACAGGCAATATGGACACTATTCAGATGAAAGGTAATGTAATATTGAATTTAACAGGATAGTATGATAACACCCATGATCACGTCCTTTACAAATCTTCCTTTTGGCGCATGTTTCAAGATGATTTCGAAACTATTACATACTGTTGAAGACTAATGTTGTTCTCGGACAACAAAACGCTTTCGTTATATGTACACGTTTTGGTTGTTGTTTTCGTCGCTTCTATCATCCGTGTGAACCCTTCATTCGAGGTGTTTCGTCACGGTTCCTACTGTATTATCGGGCGCAAAGTCTACAAACCTTCAACCAACGTTCAGCATGAAACACAGCGGCAAATTTACTCAGACTTTCTATACATCATATGTTTACCTTCTGGCTGAAATGGGGCACATAACGCAACTTTATTCATTTCAAATTAACTTCCGTAGTGTAATTGCATGTTTATGGCAGGCCAAGTGTGGGTTCTTTGCACTGGGACATTTCACCAACTGTTTTCAGCGCGAAGTGGAGGTCTGCCAAGAGGCAGAAATTAAAGGTAATAGACCATTTACAGCACTTCCTTCAAATCCTTGTGCACACATCCTACGAAAATATGCTATGGGTCTTAAGAAGTAGATGGTCGGCAACCCATATGCAACAATCGTCTCTAGACTACGATCCTTATCCACTAGGTTGGCGAGATTAACCGTTTCAACTCAGTCACCACATCACAGAAGACTTCCCACCTTCTAACCGAATTTATCCCACGACGATGGAGCTAACTGATCCAACTTCCCATTACATTCGTATATGAAAAACGCCTCGTTCATGATCATGATCCTTCTGGAGGGGAGGAATCAGAACTACGAAGTTTTCACCAAACACGAAGTATATGCGCTTGCGAAAGAATTCAGTTGCTATACATGGCTAAAGTTACATTGCACAGATTTACTCGTCGAGTAAAGAAGAAAACAAAAGAGGAAAAGACAATGAATTTTTATCTATTTTCAGATTCAAATTGTCTGTCTTACGTGCTTCTGCGTCGAACTGATCTGCAGCTATGCAAACGCACAGCAAAAAATTGAAGCCTTCCTCAGTGTCATGTTGTACATGCTCTGTTCATGTCCTCGTATGTTCGAGCCTACTGTCCACTTAAGAAGGCTACTAGATCTTAGTCCTTACATACCATAAGAGTAATCTTACCGCGGTCACTTAGCTCAGGAAGTCTCACCGGATAGACGTGGTCTGACTCTCTTTCCTACGTACTGTTTTAACGTCCTGATTCGATGGACTTAGTACATTCATTTGTCTGGTGGTTGAAAGGCTCAGGGTTGCCTAAGCCTCTGTCCTTCTCTTGCTAGCAAAGACAACCGTTTCTAGTACAAGAGGTAAACTGCAATGGAAAGTTGATGATTTATTGTGTGGTAGTGCTCAATTTGACCACATTGAACTCACACTCATGTACACCAGAAATAGCTCAAATGAACGTCACCTGGTCCAACTGTTGCCAAGCGCATCATTTGCACCAGGAAGAGACCGACCACTTCACGGGCTAACACCACTATGAACCAAGGTTTCTTACACATCTATATCGCCCGCCTTCCCACTGCGTACTTGAACGACAGCTATGAGTTCCGGGAATCAAGAACTGCTTCGGAAAAACAAGAAAACAACCCAGTTGTTGGGCCATCCATGTGGGGTAAAGATAAATGGAGCTATTACCCACACTCACCCCAAAGGCTGTGTAGTAATTATCTACTTATCAGTCAGCTAGCTCCATGCACACCCTAACCCTACTTGTCCCAGCATTCACTCCCTACAATTTGAGGCTGGTGAACTGCTTGCTACAAGGTAGCACTCTCTCCGGATGGTTGGAGAATTACCTGACGACGTCCATTTGCAACGCTACTAGTGCTTCTAAAGCTAAACTCATCACGAAAACCAAAATACACACCCTTCTTCATGGGTCACACTGACAAGCTGGTAACAGCAAAATATGGAATTGCCGTCCATCAGGTTAGTTTAGTTGAAAGCGGTTTGTTTAGTTGATAGCGGTGGCAGACCGAGGGGCACCACGGCCCCTTCCATATCCATTTCCTCTGCCGCCCATGTACCCGCCACCATAAAATCCACCCCTGAAGCCACCTCTTCGGCCTCGACCACCACGACCACCTCGAGATCTCAAAGGAAAGTTACCAAATGTCTGCAAACATGTGAAAAACTTTTCAATTTCTTATCTCATCCACTCTACTAAGAGCCATACGTCCTATGACCAAAAACCCCTGCGCTTGTAGTTCAACAGAAAATATCTACAGAGTGGGAGGCAATTTCTAACCCTAATAAGACCATGAGTTGATATCACACACTCACAGGTCAAGTGTGCACATAGGACAGTTATTATTCTAGTAACCCAACGGTGTGAATGAAAATAAGCCTTCGCACAAGTCTACTGACCGGGAAATAACTACAAGATATCATAAAGTACTCAAGTAATCAATCCGACAGAAGAAGTTGCAAAAAATATTCAAGGGGTTTAAACCCTTTAGCGCTTTTAGTAGAATGTAAACATCTTCTGCTTTTGGCATTCACAAGCGTACCGCTACCGGATAGCTGAGCAAAAGCGAGAATTGTAAAACTACCTCGGTATCAATCTTGCGCTGTTCGGAAAACTTGGTTCGCTCAGCTCGGCCTTCTTCCCGGTCTAGGGCGTCGCATGATAGGGAGTCAAAAAAATCATCTTTTACATAGACAGGCTGCAAACCAACGCGAAACATTCTCTTATCAGCAGGTTGTAAATTGAAAGGTATATATTGATCACCGCTAGACCCCAACAAAATACAAAAAGATGCCTATTGCTTGTTAGTGCGTTAGTTGCTGGAACGAAAACACTCCATACACAGCAAAACTGCTAACTTGAGATTGACCAAACAACCCTTCTGTACTAACTACCACAACAAAGAATCTCAATGCCCACCTTCTTTGGCATGTCTGGGGCAATCTTGTGCGCGGGTCCGTCGGCAACCTCATCATCAGCATGACCATCAATTACATCTTCCTCTTCGACTTCACCAACTTTATCTCTGGTTTCTGAACCTTTACCAAGCTCTCCCCAAACCTCGTCTTTGTTGAACTTTTCATTCATTGCAGTGAAGTCGAAATCCTCCATAAATAGCTGCGTGGGTTGAGCAAGCTGTAAAGAAAGAATTACTCTCAGTTGATAAACTAACGATTATAACCTATAATATCAGGCCTCCTTCGTAACTGCAGTGAAGACTACTACGAGGCAGGTCCGACTTTAAAGCGTCAATCTGGTCTCCTTTCTCTAGTTTGAAAAAAGCTCCTGAGAGTGATTCTGTATAAATACAAACAATCCAGCTTTTGGAAAAACCCTAAACCTCACCATCCCGGAAACAAACAATATGCCGTGATTATAACACTCTTCTTCTCAGTTGACTCTTCCTTCCAGTGAAGTAGGGTTGTCAATTTAACCCAAGCTTTCACCTAGATATTGCGCACATTCTTCAACTGAACTTCGCTATTGAAGTAGGGAGGAGCGTCTTAACTTGGCCACACGTAAAGTTTTAAGAAGTAATATGTTAAAGCCATAACTCAAGAAGGAGACTCTATGCTCTAGGTTTTACAATCTTACCCCGATTCCTCGTCCGCTTCCGCTTCCTCTTCCTCGCCCTCTACGAACGTAGTTGGAACCAACTGACCCATTGCCCTGGAATATGCAAGAGGAACCAAAAATTTAGGACAGTTCAAAAGGTTAACCGATAGATGACACATCAAGCACAACGAATATACTCAATGTTGAGAAGGACGTGAAAGAGGTCGTTATAAATGAACTGCTGAGTCCCAAATCTACAAAAGAGACAAATTCTAGCACTCATGATAGAGTGTAGATCAAGTCGAAGCTACCTCCTATGATACTAAACTGAGACACACTTAAATAAATCCAACAACATTCAAGATCCTAACGAAAAGACATAATCAATGTCAAAGTATACCTACGGGCAGATGTTAAGCTCACCCGTACCTGAAGCAGCTGCTTTTGTGGAGTTGACGAAGTAGGCAAGGGTAGAAGAGGTTGAGTTTGCTGCTGGGGAGGTTGTCCTGGTGTGGATATGATAGGCTGAGATTTGGCAGGCTCTGCTGATTTCTGATCTTGCTTAAGTGGGTTTGATAGACCAATCTTTCCTGGTGCTGATGACAGCATTCCAGGGAGTGATTGAGTTCCACTTTGCGACCGTTGCGCCAAAGTAGCAGAGGCTGAAGTCGACGATGCTGACGTAGCAGTGGAGGTGGTTCCAACCGAGGCTCCTGAGGACTGCGATTGAGGAGGCGATGGTTGCACTGGTCCTACAACTCTCCGCGGATTCTTAGCAGCTGGGGTAATAACCGCACTGACTCCTTGAACTGCAGATGGGGCAATGGTTGACGGAACATTTGGTGCCACAGAGGATGGAGCTGAAGTAGTAGCAGATACAGCAGGAGTTGGTCCAGGGTTACTAACTAAAACGGAAGTTCCTGAAGCGGGAATACTACCAGACACAGGGGGTGCTGGTGCTGGCATGCTGCTGGGAGCAGGTCCACTCGATTGCTGCAGCTGACTTGTAACAGGTGGCATTGAATTGACCAAGTTCAAGGGGGGAGATGGTCGGGGAGGCTGCTGCAAAACCTGAGCCTGTGGGGCAGGTGGCATTGGAAGTGATGGCGGGGGCTGCGGGTGAAGGGGTTGTTGCAAAATGGGTTGTGCCGTTGGTGGCCTGTAGTATCCCTGCCAATACATGGGCATCGCAAGGCCAGTTCCGTTCGGTCCGGGTGGTGGAGGAGGAGGACCCCATGATCCGAGACCTGCTGTTGGTTGATAAAGAGGGGGCACTCCACTCCGAAAAGCAGATGGAAAATTTCCCGGATATGGTAACTGAGGCCCTGCATCCTGAGGTCCTGGTGGTGGTTGGACATATGCTGGGGTTATTGGAGCCGGCTGTGAATATTGTGACTGTCAGATTGCAAGGAAAACAAAAGAGGTAAGTCAATACAAACCCTTGCACAGTAAATGCGACTCAATCCGGAAGATCGAATACGGAAGGTGCAAAACGGCACCAACGTACAGGACCACATGCTTCGACGGTAAAGTAGGGCACATAACACACAAAAGCCTTGCACCCTAACGTTTTATGAGTGCTTCATATGCCGCGCATCCCGGAGGGACGTCGACTTAGTAAGATGAACTTCAAACACATACATCGTCCTACGTAGCAACCACCACTGTAAGAAGAGTACCATTCGAGATTTAGTGAAATCTGCAGCTGAAGAAAAACTCCATTCGATTGCATTTGACATCAAAGCAGAACAAACGAAAAGCCAATTGAGAGGAGTGTATCAGGAGTGTATCAGACATTATGATTACCGAATGAGTTCGCACCTGAAGTGAGATAATTGCCGGGTCAGTTGGAGGCTGTGGTGGAGGTTGTATAGAAGGAGAAGACTTCACTTGTAGATCCTGGCAAAAAAAGTACGAGTAAGAATCTCAAAGTTACGGCAGTGATGACAAGAGGAACGTCATGCAGGAAGAGGCTGGAACCTCAATCACACCCTAGGAAAGCTTCCAGCTGACGTGGAGTAATCTACATGACATTCAAAAGCGTTTGAACATCGCATGAAGTTAACAGTAACACCAGACGCTAGCATCCCCTCCTCATCCAAATTGGCTCCATGGCTCACAGTCCGGATTGCATTTATTACAAAAACCTAAGGGGGTATGCATCATGCTGCGAAACAGGTACGATGCCAAGTAAGAACGTCAAGGTGTGCACCTTGATATCCGATCCTCGAAAGATGATGTAATCGTAAACTTTGTCACTTGCCAGGATGGGAAGGCCGTCTTTCTTCCGACCCTCCGTCCCAAATGAACGAACTGCAAAGGCCAATGTCAGAGAATCAACCATCGGACATGGGCCACTGATGCTGTAAAGAAACGAGGATGTACTAGAGGGACCACTGATATGAGCCGTAACCAAATCGCGACACTCCAAGCCCTGGCTTCCACATCCCGCGGAGAGAGCGGAAACAATTGCATATCCAATCCCTAATTGTATCCGCGGGGGCGAATCGGGGCCAGACAATCGCAATACGGAACTAGAAGTCATGGACAACTACCAAGCAACCTGGCCATCAATCTGGATCATCGACGGACGGGCAAACACAGAGAAAGATTCACAGAAAAATGTACCAGAGAGCAAAAGCGAGAACGCACCATTTTGAAGAGCAATGTTCGAATTTTCTGTGTCGACGGTGTAAAGGATGCCCTCATATCGAATCTCACTCTTGGATGTGAGACTGATAAGACTCCCAATATACGAATCGGCGGTGTTCGCCCCGCCGCTGCCGTCGCCCATCGCCCCAAACCTGCCTTTCCCCTCTCACTCCCTCTTCTTTCGACTTCCTGTTTCCCACCCTCTTCTCCTCGCGCGATAAACTCTCGTTCCCAATCGCTATACAACCCCGACCTCTCCACTCCTACACCCCTCAGCCAACCCTTGGGCCATATAACCCTGCGCCTCCTGCCTCATACAACACCCTCCTCTTCGTCGTCGCCCCACTCCCTCCTCTTTCTCCTTCTCTTCCCTAATTTGCTTCGTCCGTCCGAACCCGCCAGGGCTCCGAACTCCTCAATCTCCCTCCTCCTCTTCCTCCTCCCTCCCTCTATCTCTCCCTCTCTCTCCGTAATCCCTCGATCAACTCATCTCATCTCATCTCGTACCTCTCCTCGCGCCCCTCTTCGCCTGTGACCACCATCGCCACCATCCCCGCCCGCCCTTCCCTTTTCTGTGCTCCCCCCCCTCGCTCGCCCTCGCTCTCTCTCTCTCTCTCTCGGCAACGACCGAACTCTCGCCCAGCCACCACCTCCTCCACCACCTTCTTCACCTTCTCTCGCTCTCTCTCTTTCTCTCTCTCTCTCGGAGACCTGCTTCGCTTCGCTCGACGACGGACGCTCGCAACAACACAAGGAAAGGAGCTCCACTCTCCCTCTGCTGCAGAAGCACTCTCCTCTCTCTTTCTCTCGTTCCTCTGTCTCGCCCGAACTCTCCCTCTCCCTCTGTGAGAGCTTCGCACGCTCACGCTGCGCGAGGAGGAGGAGAGAGATATTCCAAAACCTCTATTTAGGATCGCGCTTAGCAGCCTAATGCCGCGCATTAGCCTAATCCGCCCCGCCTAAACCCTCGCGTGCGTTGCAGGTAGACGCGCCCGGCAAGACATCTTAGCCTAAAGGCCGCCTTAACCTCGCGCTAACAAAACAGGGTTAAGTCGTGCCTATCGGGAGCTTGCATCCGCCGGATAACGTGGAGATCGCTGGGGGATTTTCACGGGAACCGGAGGACAATGACGACGCAATTGGAATGAGAGTGGGGCTCGAGGGCACGAGAAAGAGTGGGCCTTCCGGGGAACTGTTTGATTATTTAAACCCGCAGATTCTGCCATCGGACGGCTCGAAGCTTCCGATGGGGTTAGAGGACTCCTGTATGTGCGTTGGCAGGCACGTCTCCCCGCTTGACATGGCTCCTTTTCTGGTGTCCCGAAAATTTATTTGCCCATTTGCACGAAACCCATTTCTGTTAACGTACCTCTTCGTTCTTTCCTTGTACTCCACTCTTAGGTAAGAGCTTTGCTCCCCATCCATATCATCAATCGGTTGATCAAAAGCAACCTGGGCGACGGATCATGGCAGTGCTAATCTCCAGACCAGAACCATTGGAGAATCTTCGGACTCGAGGTTACGCCCTACAAATCATGCGCACTCCATCCTCTTCATCATTTTCGTTCTTTTCGAGTCCATTTCGTTATAATCCGTCTTGGCTTTACTCTCCTCCACCAATTTAGAATATTCTAATGGAAAACAAATTCCTCGGCGTTTTCTGTGTACTGAGGCTATAAACGCCGTTGATTGTTTGCAATTTGTAATGCTGAGCCCGTAATAAATGAGATGGCAAAACAAACAGCGAGAAAAGATGATACGGATAACGTTTTAGACATGAAACCCTAAATTGATGTTTTGTATGCAATTGTTGCTATATCTCTTATTCAGTTTTCGGGCGTGTAGAAATCATGATAGAGCAAATTCATGTGCGTTCATGAGATTTTTCTCCTTCAAACATGCTTTTATAAGTATGGATGTAAGTTGTAGATACTTACAGCTCATGATGCATCCAAGCTGAAGCTAAAATTGTTGTGGAAAAAACCACATACATAAGTTACTCAAGTTGAACCCTAAAAATCACAATTTCACAAATTGACACTGTGGTTGTGGGACGAATGTGTGTTTAGTTGAACGTCTCTTGCTATTACAGTTTGGCCTCTCATTCCAATACCTTTTATACATCACTTTGAAAGCAATCAATGCACAAGAAGTAGCACTTCCACGAATGAAGCAAGCCCACGTTCAATAAACAAATTGTCTACACACATGGGCCAGTACCCATCTTCATGCTGACCCATATCAGCACTCTTGTGTGAGATACAATATGTAAAGATAATATAAGATAATAGATGTACGGTACAACTTAGAATTGCCCAAATGGTGAGACTAAGCATTATGTCGTTAATGGAAAAGTGAGTCAAACGTGAGATTTTCAAACCTACATAGTGCAACAAAATCAAATTAATATAATAATAAATACAATTTACTTTTAATTTCCGTGTATTAATTTGTTTCAAATGGACAATTATCACGAACTTGTAGAAGTTGACAAGTCATTATATTTGTTATATCAATTACATACACAATTTTTTCCAATCACGTGTACTCATTGTAACTCAAACTTAGCAAAGCATAACCTGCGTTATATCAAAAATAAATTATATATTTTCGATAAGTTGTATTCAATACATAACTCAAACTTAAGGAATACTTACTCTTTGTTACATTAACTAAAAATGTTTTTATCACCTATGAGGTGTATTTCTGAGTAACTTGAACTTTATAGTACATTATATGTATTCTTTGGATGACACATTTCATGATCATATATAGCAATTTTAAGTCCATTTACTAATCTACATTTTGATATTCTTATAGCTCGTGCTATTCCATGCTACAACAACAACATTTCAACAGACTTTCCTCTGTTCAGCTTGTTGTTGCTTTTTATATTGGCAAATGATATCTTCTACCAACCAAATTTACTACTTAAAACCTATAACCTACATTGACAATTTTACTTAAGTGTTTTCAATAACAAAATGAACTTAAAGAAAAACCTCTATTCTTGCACATAGAAAAAAGAAAAACAATGGGTCTAAAATCTCATTGTGATAAATTAGTCTAAAGATATTGTTATTTTAAATTTAAATGTTAAATTCACTATATAAAAATTTCAAAAATACTTCAAAACCCCTTGTTTCAAATTTTGTTCCTTCATATATATATGATGAATTGTTTACTTCAAATGATACAGAGATTCTTTCTTGTGTAGATGATAAAACTATTTATTTACTAAAATTTAGCCATGAAGTACATTCAATAGATAGTGGATGCTTTGGATTTGAAAGATTTAAGAGACCTCCAGATATATGATTTGATGATTTTAAATGACGTAAATAAAAAAAAAACTACCAAGAACAATGTGTGTAAACATAAAATCACATACATATTGAATAACCTTTTATGCCTAGAGTATCAAATATCTCATAATTATCAAATTTTATTTTTCTTCTAGTTGTGAGCCTAAATTGTCATGAAAAACACTATAACTACAATATATAATATGTTGAACTTTTGTATTTTATATATATATATATATATATATATATAATATTCTTTTAATTGATTTTCATACTTGTTATAGTTTTCTTATATTTCATAAAAAAACGAGTTAAATGTAGTAAAAATGTATTCAATAGTGAAGATTGAATAATGTAAATTGACTGGAACAAATTTTGTTATACTCAAAATTAAAAAATGAGCACATTTATCAATTATGAAGGATAAAATTCATAAAATGTTGTTTTTTTAAGATTATCAATGCTAAGTAAATTGCAAATGTTGTTAAATCAATTCTACTAAAATTTGACATTAAGAAAAAATAACATAGAAATAAATAATTAAATTCGTCATTTAGAAAGAAGTTATTCAATTCTTCAATTAGAAATAAATTATTCAATTGTTAATTTTGGAATAAAATTTTCCTTATTAAATTTCGAAATATATTCTTAATTTTTTAATCTATAAATAAAGTATTCAAATATTAATCTATACATAAAATATTCAAATGTTATTTTGAAAAATAAATTCTTCAAATTCTACGTTTAAAATAAACTATTCATTATTTATTTATGAACAAGATACTCAATTTTTTAACTTGAAAATAAATTATCCAATGACTAAATTTTAATTAGTTAATTAATTATTAAAAATGAAATAAGAATACGTATAAAGTTTTATTTAAACTTTAAATTGATAAATAAATAGTTAAATTTTAGATTGTAACTACAACATTAAAGTGTATAATTTAATTTTTTATTTTAATTTTTATTCAATTTATCACATTTCAAATCATTCTTAAACTGTAAGTTTGCAAATAACTTATTATTTACAAACTTAAAATTTCTTATTTTTTATTTGTATTCAAATTTTTAATTAAATTTATGAAATATAAAAACATAAATTGAACTGTAAATTTGAAAATAATATATTTTTTGTTGATTTGTAAATAAATTTTTAAAATTTTTTCAAATTTCTACATAAATTCTTATTTTATCATTTTTTAATAATTTTTGTTTTATTTACCAATCAATAATTAAAGTGTATATTTTAAAATTTATTTTTTTCCATTTTTTTGATAAAATATTTTTTTGATCATTTGTAAATAAATAATTTAATCTTAAATTTTTTGTTAAATTTTATTTTTGCAAATAAATTATGTTTTCAATGGATCTTCATTTGATCAACAATCTGTAAAGCTAATTCAATTGTAAATCAAAAAATAAATTGTTTACTTCTAATTTAGAAATAAATCACTGTATTTTCTATTTCAAAATAAATGATTCAATTGTAAATCAAGAATTGTGTATTTTAATGATTTATTTATGAAATTTTTTTCTGTAGGACTATAAATTTAAAAATTATTTTTGTACAAGTATTTTTTAAAATAAAAGATTTGAGATATTGTAAAAGAGTAATTTTAGGTTTGTGAACTAGTAAGTTAGTATTGTGATTTTGTGAATAATTTGGCTAGCAAATTCAAAACAAGCTTACGGTAAAGCTTAGCTTTCATGCTATGAAACTTTTATTATATATTTAACACAGTGCCTATTGGTATTATATTTGTTCAGGATTTTTTTAAAATTTTGTGTGTTTTTTTTCTTTTGCACAAATATTATATATTTATAAATATATATAAAAAATAATTATCCATATATGTAAATATATATAATTGTAAGATTAAAATTTTAGTTATAAATATTTAAAAAATATTGATACATATAAAAATTAATTACATTTTAAATAAATTTAAATATAAATTATAATTAATATTTTTTATAATTCAATTATATTTTTTATTTAATTTTTTAAAAATAATTAAAATATTTATTAAATATAAATATTACATTATATTATTATATAATGTAATATCACTATGTCAGACTAAATTTGATTGACTTATAAATTATTGTTTATTATGTGCAAATCAAATCACATGTATAAATGAACGGAAAATATATAATTACATGATATTGTGAGATTTTTTTATATATCAATAATCAAAAGTTCAAGATATAAATAGATGAATAAATAATTAAGTTATAAAATATAAATAATTACATATTTTAAAATATTATTAATATATAATATGTATATATATTTATTCATACTATTAAATTGTATAAGTATTTTACACCTTTAATTTTAAAAAATATCTTATAAAATGACAAAATTTTATAATTTTAAGTTAATATAATAATTTTAGATTACTCGTTTATTTATAAAATTAAAATTTAATTTTTACATTCATAATTTATATACAATTTAAAATAATTTATATATTCTTTGTTTATTTTTTAATTTAAGATAACTTCTAAATTCCTTTATTGAAAATTTAACTAAATAATTTCAAAATCATACAGAATTCAATTTTTTATTAATTTATTAAAAATTCATTATTCTTGTTAACAAAAATTTTCACATGAATATTTTTTTA